TTGACGGAAATTGCCCTCGACGTGATTCTAACACACAACCTTCTGATTTGGAGTCAGACGCGCTACCGTTGCGACAAGAAGTCCTTCAAAGTTTCGAGCCATGTGAATATACCATTGTGTTTTTTCTTTCCAGCATTCCTTTTTTTTGTTTTAAAAAGGTTAACTTTTCTTTGAATTGAGGTACTTTTACTTGAAACGCAATTACCGATAAAGCTTCCAGGCCTTTTCCTGAAAATTTCGCCACGAATTCTTTCCAATCAATGAGTCATTCGGAGAAAATATCGTGTTTTTTTTCTGTCGGCTTTCAGTTTTTTTTAAATGTGTCTTTCATTCCTTGAATTGACGTAGTTTTATTTGGAACTCAAACGCGCAACCTTTTGAAAAGACTGAAGCCGTTGGTTGATAATACATTAGTCGGAATTCAAACGCGCAACCTTTTGATCTAGAGTCAGACTCGATAACCATTTCGCCACAAATTCCTTCTAACCCATGAGCCGTTTGCATAAATGAGAGTGTTTTTTTTGTCGGCTTTCAGTTTTTGATTTTAAATGTGTCTTTCATTCCTTGAATTGACGTAGTTTTATTTGGAACAAAAATTCCTGGTCAAGTTTCAAGCTCTTTTCCTTGGTATCCAGAAAAAAAATTCAATATCTAGCGTTGCTGGTTATTGACCTCGATATGATTCAAACAAGCAACCTTCTGCTGTGGATTCAAACGCGCTACAGTTGCGCCACGAAGTGCCTCAAATTCTCGAGCCTTACGGTTATAATTTCGTACTTTTTCCTTCCAGCATTTATTTTTTTTTTTGTGTTTTAAATGTGTATTTCTTTCCTTGAGTTGTCCAACGTTTACTTGTAAGAAATCCTGATCAAGTTTCTAGGCCTTTTCCTTAAACTCCTGATTAAATTATACAATTTCTAAGGTTGGCGGATATTGACCTCGACGGGATTCTAACATGCAACCTTCTTGTCTGGAGTGAGACGCGCTAACGTTGCGACAAAAATTCTTTCAAAGACTCGAGCCAAACGGTTAAACTATCGTGTTTTTTTCCTTCCAGCGTTGTTTTTTTGTCTGTTTTAATGTCTATTTTTCCTTGAAATGACTTAATTTTATTTGAAAAAAATAATGATCAAATTTCCAAGCACTTAATTAATCACTTGCAAGTTTGTTACAATTTCTAGTGTTGGTGAAATATGACCTCGACGTGATTCAAACACTGAACCTTCTGATCTATAGTCAGACTCGATAACCGTTTCGCAACAAATTCCTTCTAACCCATGAGCCGTTTGCATAAATGATAGTCTTTTTTTTCTGTCGGCTTTCAGTTTTTGTTTTTAAATGTGTCTTTCATTCCTTGAATTGACGTAGTTTTATTTGGAACTCAAACGCGCAACCTTTTGAAAAGACTGAAGCCGTTGGTTGATAATGCATTAGTCGGAAATCAAACGCGCAACCTTTTGATCTAGAGTCAGACTCGATAACCATTTCGCCACAAATTCCTTCTAACGCATGAGCCGTTTGCATAAATGAGAGTGTTTTTTTTTTGTCGGCTTTCAGTTTTTGATTTTAAATGTGTCTTTCATTCCTTGAATTGACGTAGTTTTATTTGGAACAAAAAATCCTGGTCAAGTTTCAAGCTCCTTTCCTTAGTATCCAGAAAAAAATATTCAATGTCTAGCGTTGCTGGTTAGTGACCTCGACATGATTCAAACAAGCAGCTTTCTGCTGTGGATTCAAACGCACAACAGTTGCGCCACGAAGTGCTTCAAATTCTCGAGCCTTACGGTTATAACGTCGTACTTTTTCCTTCCAGCATTAATTTTTTTGTTTTTTAAATGTGTTTTTCTTTCCTTGAGTTGACCAACGTTTACTTATAAGAAATCGTGATCAAGTTTCTAGGCCCTTTCCTTAATCTTCTGAATAAATTATACAATTTCAGAGGTTGGCAGAGATTGACCTCGATGTGATTATAACTCGCAATCTTCTGATCTGGAGTCAGACGCGCTACCATTGCGACAAAAAGTCTTTCTTCAAAGACACAATCCAAACGGTTATACCATCCTGTTTCTTTCCTTCCAGCATTTGTTTTATTTGTGTTTTAAAAGTGTCTATTTTTCATTGACATGACGTTCTTTTACTTGAAAAGAATCTTGATCAAGTTTCCAAGCCCTTTCCTTAATCTCTTGAGTAGTTACCACTCCAAGTGTAGGTGGAAAATGATCTCGACGTGCTATGAACACGCAACCTTCTGATATTGAGTCAGACTCGCTACCGTTGCGCCACAAATTCCTGCTAAGAATTGAGCCCTACGAATATAAGATCGTGTTTTTCAAATGAGTCTATTTTTCTTTGATTTGACATTATTTCACTCGAGAAAAAATTCCCGGACAAGTTTCCAGCCCCTTCCCTTAATCTCCTGAAAAAAAATTAGGCGACTCTCAGTGTTCGTGAATATTGACCTCAATGTTCAACGTGATTCGAAAACATAACCATGAGGCAGACGCTCCAGTGTTGCACAACGAATTCCTTTAAAGATTTGGAGCCGTACGGTTAAAAGATCCATTTTTTTCTGAAAATCATTTGTTGTTTTTATGGGTCTTTCATTATTTGAAGTGACGTAGTCTCACTTGATAAAAAACTCTTGATCAAGATACTAGCTCGTTTCCTTAATCTAGTTGAAAATAAAAGAATTTTCAAGGTTGGTAGATATTGCACTTGACGTTATTTGCTAACGCAACCTTCTGATCTGGAGTTACGCCATGAGTCCTTCAAAGAATCAAGCTGTACGGTTATAAGATATGCTCAAACAAGTATCCAATTATGATTAGCTAACGCCTTTGATTCGTTTAAATTTTTTTGATGAATATATTTAATCATATAACAAACTCCAGCAAAAACTACAATACAACCAATCTGATATAAATTTTAGGAATCGAAACTTTCTATAGCAAACTCTGTAGAGATATAGGGTCTTTTTGGTTATACCGCTTCTAAATAATTTTTAAAAAGTTGATAGTTTTTCTCACGAAATTGGACTGATTTTACTTAAAAAGGCAAGGCTGATATCCCGAGCGTTGAATAAAGGTAGAATTTGGCAGGATACGGCAAATTTAAAGACAATTGAAAACGCATTTGGCGTCTTTGTTATGAAATTTATGCTGAGAAACTTGGCAAAAATTGTACAAAAAAGCAGTTTGAGGCCCAACAATTAACAAGACTGCTGTTTTAAGGTCCATGGAGCAGTAGTAACTTGAAAAAGTTAAATGTAAAAAAAATAAAACGAAAAAAAAATTAATTTTGAGATTTTTCCTGAAAATCACCCCCCCCCCCCAACTCTCCCACACGCCATATAAAGTAGAAAAAGATAGATTTCGCTTCCATTAACCAATAAATTAGGCAAATAAGCTTCTTTCAACCATTTTGGAACGATTTCTGAGACGGATAATATCTCCGCTTACGCGTTAATAGCAGACTCAAACTCTCAGCGCGACTATGCAATTTAGGTCTGAATCTGGATGCGGCGCGACCCTCAAAGTCTGGACATGAGTGTGGGACCTCGACCCGGGAGCATGTGTATGATTTGGATAACACAATTTGAAGCAAATCCTCAACTGTCTTATGGTTTTTCAAGCAAGGTCGATATACGGAACTAGCCTGGCCAATTTAGTTTGCCTCAATTTAGTTTGAGCCAGTTATGAGCGTGCGATAATTCATCACGCATAAATAAACAGCGTATCGAAAAAATTATAAAATAAACGAGCAGCCAAGCACACCGGCCTTTAAATTCGAAGATTCCAGGATCGGTCTTTAAGCCACCAAACTTTCTTGATCTAAGTTTCTACTGCCCCATAAATCTCAAAAATAAACAAAAAATCAAAAATGTTTTTGATAGTGTCTTCTTTTTATCAACCATTCGCTAAGTAAAACACAAAAGAATGTTTTTAGCATCTCGTATCTCATGAATAAGTTCAATTTGCTGGCCTGAATTCAATTTAAATTGTTAAAATTAACAATCTTCAAGTCGCATAACTAGAGAATCGACTACCAAATGTAAACAAATATCTATATTTCAGATCAGGCTAACAATATTTTTAAAAAAATCTTTTTGAGCTTGACTGAACAACATAACTAAACGCAGCACAAATATTCCGTCGATTTCTTCGAATGTGGGAACGATAATTTGTTTCGGATCTTTTCAAAAAATTTATTTTATTAAAATTTTTATGTAGGTATTATGTAAATAGTGAGTAAAACAAATACAAACGCGCAAAAATGAAAACCCAATTAATTTTTGTCAAATTCATATTTTATTCAGAATTGGTTGTCAAAAATAACACATGCATAGGGGGAAATAGTTAACAAGGTCCAAAAGAGCCGTCAGAGGGATTTCACTCACGAGAGGTCTTTTTTTGGTCGGGGTTCGTATTTTATGTCTATTGCCGCAATAAAATCTTTATGCCACCGCTCATTATTTTGCGTAAATTGCCTATTTCCGGTCTGAGGGGGTGTTTTTTCAACTGCTAATAGCTTCCGATAATTACCGGTCTAAGGGGGTGTTTTTTCAACTGCTAATAGCTTCGCCGATTTTGTCTTTTTTTTGGTATAGGAGAGACGATATTCTCGAAAAATGAACTATTCTGAACTCGACCCTTTGTTTGCTGTACTACTACTTAATGTCTACTCAATCTTACGCTCAGGTTACTATAGCATGTAGTACACTATAGCAAGTATTACAGTAGAATCAATCACCAATTCTACACCACAAACCGATTGTAATGAAAATTGACATGCTTACTAATTAGGCCAAGACAAACATACTTTGTCTTAATAAATAACCTTGTAAAAACCCTCATTACATCATAAAATTGATGCTGATGTGAGGTGGGGGGGGGGGGGGGAAGAGCCCACAAATTGCCTATTTTCGGTCTCGAACTCGGAAGGAAAAAAGCGATATCTGCATGAAATGAGATAAATGTTAAAGTGGTTCATTATCAGCTGACCTAGTTGATTACAGGACAAATCCATTTCACAGAGGGTGTTGTTGGTGACAATCAGTTGAGCAATAAACTGCGAGGTCTGTTCTGTGATGTCATTGGCTGCTATATTCAGAGTCTCTACTGTGGAATTTTCCAGCAGTGCAATACACAGACACTGCGCACCCTCGTCTCCTAGCCTAAAATATACGATAATTTTTGGTCGCTAACGGGATTTAGGTGGGGCGAATTTAGGAGAGCAAGTTACTATTTGTGAAAACCAATTTTCATTGGCGTGACCTAAAATTCATGAAAATACAAAGTTATTCCTCTTAACGCAACGAAAATTATTAGGTTACAAACATCGCCAACAGACCGCTGATAAGTGCCAAAGCAACCACGCTACATAGAAAAATACTATTTTTTAAAACTTTTTTCCAAGAAAAACAAGGATAGCCCGTTACTTTGCAAGTAGCACAGAATGTTCCGACCGTAGTATTTAAAAACTACAATTTTTTTTCAAATTAGTGTAGTTTTTTCTGCGGGGTGTGATAAAAAGGATCTGAAGTAAAACTAGAACTTAGGCATATCCAACATTCTTAAAAATATAGCCAAATTGGACAAGAATTTTCAAAGAAAAATGACTAGAGTTTTTTGAAGTTTTTGATTCCCAAATTGGCACTACGCATATTCGACAGAGTCACAGTAAAACAGGCAATATGATAAGCAAATTAAAAAAACTACTAGAAAAACAAAAAATTAAATTAAAATTAAGCATAAATAAGCTATTGTAAATGACCTAAATTAAGCGTTAATAAGCATGCTCGTTTGCTTTACTCGCTCGAAATTACACAAAAAAATCGCAAATTTCAAACCGGTTTTTCTAAACACTGAAAAACAAATTTTGAAAATTTTTTATTGTCATTCAAATTACGACTAAAAGGGCTTTAATATGATATATCATTCGATCCATTCCGATGATTATTTATGGTACTTGATTTTGCGTGGAAAACAAAAGTTTTCCACCCACAAAAAAAAAGAAAAAACTAAAACACACCCGAATACTAAGTTCTTTCCCATTTTCAAAGGTCGAAACAAAAAACTAAAACACACCCAATACTAATTTCTTTCCCATTTTCAAAGGTCGGAACAAAAAACTAAAACACACCCAATACTAATTTCTTTCCCATTTTCAAAGGTCGGAACAAAAAAACTAAAACACACCCGAATATGGGAACTTAAAACGTGAGAAAAATACAAATTAAAACTTTTGGGGAAACGTAATTCATGTTTTTAGGCCAATTGCATTTTGTTGATGGAAATTAATTTGCTTTCATTTTAGCAAATGAACTTGAATTGATCAAAAACGAAATCAAAAATCTCAAACCGCGATAAACACTATTTCGCGCGAACAACTTTTTCGTGAAAACTAAACTTAAAAACACGACATCGGTATGTATACATATTTAGGTTTTCTGCTTTTTACGGTTATTTTTCACGAAAAAAAGTTCGGTCAAAATAAAATTTTAGCGCGGTTCGCGATTTTTGAATTCATATCAATATCACCTTAAAGTCATTGGCGCATGTGAACAGTTCCCCACTTAATAGACCAAGTGAACACTTTCTCTCCCTAATAGACCAAATTAACAACCTCCCCCCTAAAATTAAATGGCAAATTCAAGCCGTAAAGGCGGAATGTTCTATGCTCAAATCTGATTGGCTGAAAACTATTAATCTTAACCAAGTGAAAAATCTCCCTCCTAAACTGCATTAGGGGGATATTATTCACTTGGCCCAAATCATTTAGTAAAATGAAGACAGAATTACCATTTCGAATAACATTTCATGTTCGTTTATGGCCTTCATTTCGTTTAATGGCATTTTAAACTAATGCTGCTGACCTGTTGAGTCGTAGATTGAGGTGTTTCAGTGCTGTTGGCTTCTTGAGCGCATGTGCAATGGCCGCCAGGCCCTGGTGTCCGATCTGGTTGTCCAGAAGATTCAGACTGGTGATCTTGCTCTGGTTGATCAGTTTGCCTACTGCTCTTGCTCCTTTATCCCCTATCTTGTTGAATGACAGGTCAAGCTCTTCCAGATTCGGATGGTTCAACGTGTGTTTTATCATCACTCGAACCTGGTTGAAAATTGAACTTTGTTATAGTTTTAAGATCAAAATAATCGTTTTTTTTTTTCATTTTATAGTTACTGTCAAATTGTTGGTAATATTTGTTTTGGATCAAAACAAATCTAAACACTCTGTTTTTTCAAAAAAAAACGCCATGGAAGGTTTAAGTGAACGAACACTTTGAAATGCAAAAATTGAATGTTTAGAATTGTACCTTATCGTCGTCGATTTTGCTTCGCTGTACAGATAGTCTCTTCAACTGTGTGCACTTCTGAACAAACTTGGACAAGTTTAAACAGTCGGTAGTCGTGAACAAAAACAAGTTCCATTCGAAGTTCAACAGACATCCGTCTACGCCATACACGACTGAAAACTCTTCCATATTTGGTAAGAGAGCGAGAATATCGTTGAAGTCGAAGTGACTGTCGTTCTCAATGACGTCACCGGCGTCACTCCCAGTATCTGAGACATCCCCGTCGTCTCGGTTCGGTTCACGGATCGGCGGCAACAACTGTCGGATGTCAACTCTGACTATGAACTTTCCTTTGAACATAATTTAAAGACATGTTTAAAACTCATACTAACTCTTAATGCAGTTTTTCAGATGTTTTAAATTTTGAATAAAAAATAGCCCAGAAAAGTTAAGACTTAGAGTGACAACCTCAGGTGTCTGTAAAATGGATAATACTTGGTATTTACCGTGAATTGGTCCAAAGCAAACTGTGCTTTTTACAAACGTTTCAATTTAGTATTTTAGATAACAAAGCAGACTGCATCAAAATATCACGGAATCGTCTGATGCTTCCTAAATTTCTGAGAAAATATACCTAAGATGAAAGTTTTGTTGGACTAATTTGGATATGCGTTCTTCATTGAGGATATTTTGACAACTGAACTTTTTGACAATCTATATCAGTAAGATCTTTTCTGACGCAAAATTTCAGCTGAAAATGAGCCAGTTTTGGACCGTTTAAAGGACGCTTTTTGTTTGACTTTTCTGTAATTAGCAATTCAGTCTATCTGTCATGAGAATGGTCGTCAGCCGTCCAGAACCATGACCTGAAATTATTTTTAACTAAGCTTACCGACTAAGTTGAGATAGTTCCTCAGCACAGACAAGTCCGTAGTTCCCGGAATGAACGACTCAATCATCTCCTGCAGCTGCCGTTCAAAGTAGAGTCTCTTGTAACTATTTCCATATTTGGAAATATCACACACTGGCCACTTGGAAGCGCAACACCGTTTCCAGTATTCCTCCGCGTCAATTAAATTGGCCGTGATTTCGATTGGCACTTCGGTTGAAAGTTTTCCGAGAATCTGATTTTGATATTTTCCAGGCAGCGGCGGAGTCTTTTTTGCTAAATAATTCAACAAAATTATCACAAAAATATCGAAAATTGGTTAAGACAGAAACAGTGATAGATAAATGAAAGACAGATGAATAAAAGGACGCATTGCACAGAACCTTCTATCAGTGACTTGATCATCTCTGAAAGATAATTGGGTAACAACGGGAGTGGTTCACTGAAAAACAATGGAAAGAAAAACATAAACTTCAACAATTTCAAATGCTTTCATTCAATCTTGTTGTCTTCGAAACAACTAAAACGTGTTAAAAATGCAGCCACGTCACATTCTATATCTCAGAAAAATGAATCACTTCACTTTTCGAAATGAAAAAAATATGAATAGACCGACCATTCAGGGTATTCCATAAAAACATTTTTGCCATTACAGCTTTTCTCCCCGACTACAGACGAAAAAAATTAAAACCCTATTTCTGTGAATTTTGCATTACGGTTCCTGTTTAGATTATTGAGTTTCGCTCGTGGAAAAAGTGAAAAAAGGAAAGGATTGAAATGAATGCAAGAACGAAACAGTGACTTACCGACATCTTTGAGAATAGGATTCTGGGGGAAGTTGGTTATAATATTACTCATGGTCAGCTCAGAGAGTAAAGGTACTGTGGCTAGCGTCCATTCAGGGTCCTCGGCTATGATGCGACGCATCTTCCTGGGGTCTGCCGCTGGGTTGTCGTAGGACACTGCCTGTTCCAGGGGAGGGGCTACCTGTGCAGGGTAAGGCTCCGAGGGGGTCTTGACTGGCGTGGGTTTGGCAGGTCCATCCACTTTGTCTTCCTGAAGAAATAATTTGTTAAGCTTTTGTAAAAAATGAGGAATGCAAACCATGTAAGACATGGCGACTCGGAAAAGAAACAAATATGGTGATAAAAATGTCATAATGAAGATTGGTCCACTCATTTCAAATTTTTTTTTATAAAATATGTGGTTTCCTACGCAAGATTTCTTCCAAGAGTCTGGCAAGGTTTGCATTCCCAGATCACTGAAAAATAGTTTCACAGTTATGCTTTAGAATAAAGTTCCGATCATATTGCAAAAAAAAACATTGTTTTTTTGCAAACTTGTTTTGCTTCTTTTCTGTGCGTGGAGTGATGAGATGAACAATGGGAAAGTTAGTCTTTTGAGAAACTTGTGAAAGGGTTGTATTTTCGTTACTACGGCCCTTCATGCATATCATATTAGAAACGTGGTCGTATCAGCATTAACTTCTGTTGGTGGAGGGGACGTTGAAACAGCCAAAATGCAAGGCTACCTAAATTCATGTCAAAATCTAAGCTAAAATTACGTTAATTTCTGGTGCAGGAGTGTCCTCGGCAGCTTTTGGGACAGTACTTTCTTCATTTGCAGCCGCTGCCTCCTCCGCACTACCAGGTTTCATCTCGGGTGAAGTTTCCTCAGACATTTTAAAAATAACAATTAACAAAAGACAGCAACTCCGAGCAGATTTTAAATATTTGTGATTTATGATAAAGATGGATTTGAAGCTTCAGACTATACCTGGCCGCTTTTGGTTTAAAATATGCACGTGCGTTCGTACAGGTGAAACGAACAGAAAACATAAGCCAATGCAAAACGATACACCGCAAGCATATTCAAAAACGAAATACCCCTTTTTATACATTGGTTTTTTAATTTTAATGAAATCATTCAAACAAACTGCAATTATTAATAGGACTGTTCGTACATCAGGGCAAGGCCTGCATGTTCTATGCTCCTGTTCTGATTGCCCCTTAATCCGTATCGAATAGTTATTCGTACAAAAATATCAAAAAATTAAAAATTTTGGACATTATCAAATATAGCAAGTGTGAAAATTTCCAGGTAAGAAACTAGTAGGACGCATTAGCTTGCCTAAATTCAATTATGAATGATTTTTTAGAGTGGAATATATCGCCAAGCATAATTAATTGCGTTAAGTTATAGCATTGGAACTTATAAAAATCTTCACAGTGCGCAAAAATTAGTTTGGCGCATAGCCAACTTGTCAATTTCAAACCACCAGATTTTCACAAAAAATAAATGAAAGTTAAGTAATTGTTTACATTTGAACTCCAAAAAATTTTTTCAAAGGGTTATAATTTTTTTGATGAAAACTTTTCTTTCAATCACCGGAATTTGACTGAACAAAAAAAAACAAAAACCACAAAAAATCCTGACATTCGTTCTCTTTCAAAAGTAGGAAAAATTATGTATGGTTATATGTACGTAATAAATCAGATGAGCACATAAAATAAAAAGTACAAATATCAGTTCAATTTGCAACCCAATTTGCAACCCCCTCCCATGCACATTCGCAAAAAATTCTGAAGTCGGTGCTGATTTTTGCTAGGTCAATTTAAGTTCTGATTTTCAAAGAAAAGATGATTATATATACTTTGGGTGTTTTCTTAATTCAAATTCTGAAGAAATCGAAAAATTAATTTTAACCAAAAATTTTTCATATCTTATTGAAGATATCAATTCCCTGAATTCAAATGAAAAAGATAGATATTTTACTTTGGTTATATTTTATAAAGATCTGAGTGTTGGAAAATTGCCAACTTGCCCATGTTTTGGACTAATTTATGCGCGCTGTGAATATTTGATTTACAATGCTGACAGCTTAACGCAATTCAATTATGCGTGGCGATTTTTCCCGCACTACAAAATTGTTCCAAACTAAGTTGAAGCAAACTTTCACATTTGTTGGTTGATATTGTCCGAAATATTTGGTTCTTTTTACCAACAACTGTTCGATACCAATTGAGGGGCACTCAGAACATTTCAGGTTGTTGCCCCAATAAACGAGCGGTCCTTGTTCAGCTAAACTACGCTACGGCTTAATTATGAGAGCTCATTTGTTAATTGCAGCGAGCGTGTGGTTTGAACTGTCGAGTATATGGGGATTGCAGTCTGTAAGTAGACAACCGCATAGTCATATTCGTCAAAACGAAAACAAACACTATATTAAACAATCAAAATTGAGATAAGAAAGCAAAACTACGAAATAAATAAATATCAATTAGGTACCTTTGGCTTTCTCATCTCGATTTTGATTAATTAAAAGATTAGTTGTCTATTTACTGACGAGTATGAATACGCTGTTGTCTATTTAGTGCCACGTAACTAATCGCTGGGTAACTTTACTCAGAACTAGCACTGCGCCACAAGGATTAGAATCACAAATTCTTTATTTTGGATAGTCATTTTTGTCTTTAGCAGCTTGTTGTTTAATAATCGATCGTTCGTTTTCTCATATCCTCCCTCACACGCAAAGTAAAGCATCGAGTGATGTAAACTGAGTATGGAGCGCATTTTATAGACCAAAAGTCCAGCACTAGACTTAGGACCAAAACGAGTGCGGATGACCGCACAGCTTGCCTGGACTGATAAATCTTAAAAAAAAACTCTTTTAGTTGTGCTTCGAGCAAAAAATTTATTGAAAATTTTTTTCAGTTTTGTTTATCAAGGTTCCAAAAAATCTATTAGAATAAATTAATTTAGTATGATATAGCCTGAGTACCTGAGAATGCAGAAAATTTACGAAATTTTCAGCAAAAAATAATTACAGTGGGGCAAAATAGAGCTTTCCACAACTTGTGAAACGTATGCCAGCAATCAGGCTGAAAAGCGATGTAAATCACAGCAGCATGTAGCTTGAAAAAAGTCATGAAGTTTTTTTTTTAAAAATTACAAAAAATTATCAAAAACCTAACTCATCTGTATTTCAAATGAAAGTTCATTTGACAAATTCAATTCAGTGTAAGGAATCATTTTGCGAACGAGTATTTTTTCAAGAATGAAGTTTTGTGATCAGATGAAACCAGTTTCAGATCTTTTAATACACCAGGCTGACTTCAATTCTCTCTAGTATACTCGAGGAAAACACAATATACGAAAAAAAAAATGTCCAGAGAATTCTTAAATGAAAACCTACAGCAAAACATCACAAAGATTTTCAACTATAACAAAAAGTTTTTAAATCATCTATAAGCATTTTTATGCTCGAAATTGCAGAATCCGTGACTTAACTCGATCTGGTAAAAACTGAAGCTACAGAATGGTTCAGTGATTCGCTCAGAATTTTTTAAAAGTTAAAATCTTATGCTGATCTGATGAAGCGTCCTAATTGTAAGCGTGAGCATTAAAACCAGTTTTTTTATTTTTGAAAACCTGGAAACATTGTTTTCTAAATAGTCGCATTTGTTAATGTTAATCTCTAATAACCATGTCAATTCAACCATATTTTTTATTTATAGCTACTGAAGACAACGGCCAAATTTTACACTAAACAAGCTGATTAATAGGCAATTCGGCAGCGAAATCACATATTTAACCTAATTGGGACGCGAAGAATGGGTTTGTTTTTACCTAGTCGTTTGTTTTTTTAATGAGCGATCTAGATTATCGGCAAACACTGATATATCTGCGCTTATTCACCTGTGCTGAATATAAGACATGCAGACGAAATTAAGCGCACGTTCTCTAATTATCAAAGTCGCGATTTTTTCGAAATGTCTTATTTTTTTATTCGTACAAAATCTGTCTGGCAATACCTAGTCCCACTGGATACGCTCGCTCTTGGATTCACGTTTTTCACTATGATATTACGTTTAGTCAAAACTCTTTATTTAACATTTTCCTTGAAAGATCAGGCAAGACAAGCCGAAAAAGACTAAAGCGCATTATATTACCAGAGTCGAGCTTAAGCACAGACGAGCAAGTTAGTCTTTGAATTTTCGAACTTTTTCGAGTCTGTGACAGAATGTTCCACTCCTAGCCATATTTTAGCAACATTAAAAAACATCAAAAATTTCAAAAAGCGGATAAAACACGTGCTAACATAATTCCAGTTCTAAAATGCTCAAGTGCCATGCAGCAAAAGTGCATCTTTGTTGTTCATTCTGCGAGTAAACTAAAAAAAATGAACTCTTTCCTTGTGCACAAGCAGAGAAAAACCACAAGACAAATTGAAATAAATATATTGAAATCTCACCAAACAAATTATTGAAAGAATAATTTTCAACTAGGAGGTATGAAAGACTCACAGTACTGATACAGAAATATATTAAAAATGCGAAAAACACAAAAAGCAAAATGAACTCATCGATTGACTTAACTGTTAGAACGTTCTTCATATGGTTTCCAAGACTAGTTACTCACGGGTCACATTACAATAAACAATTAAAGTTCTCTGTAAAATTATACACGGGAAAATGAGTTCATATGGCTTCAAAGGTACTCACAAACACACAATTTGAAATCGAAAACAAAAATCACACGTTTTTAAGCAAATATTTTATACACAACTTCACTCGTAGAACACAAATGCCAAATGACGTTCAAATATACAAATGAAATCACACCAAAATTTCACAGAACTCAAAATTTCTTTCCATAATAAAAGTTTGGCAAGGCTTAAGTTTTCATACTGATTACAGTTGTGTTAGTTGCTGACTTCATTGAGCACTTAGAACAACAATCTGCACATGCAATAACCTCGGGTTCGGTAGACCTCGTCCTGATATAGGATGCCTCAGTTTGAGTTTCGACACTGCTTTTAGGCCTTTCTTCAGAACCCAACTCCCCTTCAATTATGTCTGTAACCTCACCTGCGAAAACAGATGTCAGCGACTCGCTATTAGATACTGAAGCGTCTTTAGTCGGGCTACCGTTTTTCAAACTGTTCTCCGAGTCACTAAAATAAGAAGGATGTCGAATTACGCTTTCTACTGAGCCACTGTTGGCTCTATCTTTTTCAAAAGTTATGCTCTTCTCTTGACTTGAGGCACTTTCAAAGAAGTCTTTTCGATCTTTTTTCAGGTCTGTCTGAATGAAAAGAGATTCGTCGTAACTTCGGTGACCTCTAAACACAGAATCAGAGTCATTTGAGTCCAAATTCAGGAAACCCGAGAAATCGAAACTTGCTTCCGTTTGATTTGATCCAAAAATTGACCTCCGGCGTCTGGGTCTGGAAATTCGAGTTCCATCAGAGTGTGGTTCGTTTGCACTAGAACTACTCCTCGTCGAGCTGATTTCATTCGTCGATCGACTATTGACTCGTGCTTCTGTAGACGAGTATCCTCCCTTCGCCGAATACTTCTGCCCAAGTGGCGTCTCATGATGTTCGGCTGTCTGCGACGATGACGAACTAGATGCCATATATGGCGAGTCTCGCATGTTTCTTTGTTCACTGCCTCGAGAGTCGCTCCTAGCCGATGACTTATTCTTAGGCGTTGAAGTCGACATTTTTGATAATGGTCTTTCAGCTTCTTTTAACTCTTCTGATTTATCGCGAAAACTTTTCGTATTAAGGACAAGTTGTGACCTGGAAGGAAATTGATAGAGATAAGCCATACAACATGGAGCTCTGATCGAAAAGCCGTCAATAAGTGGCATGGTCGAATTACAAACTTCGTGGCAGTTATGGAGCATCACAAAACGACTGGTCGTCACTTTATGCCGTGAGGACATTAGTTCGTCAATTAAGTCATGAGCAAACGTATCTGCGAGGTTTGCCGAAGCTATTCTTGATTTATTCTTCACATCTCTACGAGTATTCGACGATCTTCGCGTATTCTTCGTTGTTGTTTTCCTTGTATAAATTTCCAGATCAAAAGGGAGAGATCTGACCCCTTGTAAAGCATCAAGGGCTCTCAGTTTTACTAATTTGTTGTTTGGGCAAGAATTGTCGTCAAAATATTTGATTTGCATTTTTACAGGGCTTGGTTACAAATTTCCGAACATAGTTATCTATTAATTTTTAATCATTCTCTAATCTGAAAACATGATGATTTATCAACTGATACCAACAATAAGATTGTTCACGCTTTTGAAGCTCTCCGAAGCGGTTAGCGATATCAAAAGATGTACAAATAAAACATAGGCAACAGACAGTTGGAAAAGAGTAAGAACGCAATGAAACAGAAAAAAAAACTGACTTAATTTTCGGAAAAATCTCAACTTACAAAAATTATAGTCCCTAATTTTTATAGCTTTAAGAAAATAAATAGATGCCCTGAAAGCTCTTTGAATTTCTATGATGATCCATAAAAATAACCCAATTAGAAAAATCGCTGTGAAATCTGATATTTGAATTCATTTTCGAAACTAGAAGTCGCACGTTTTTCGTGACCTTACCACTTTTGCTGCTCATTTGTGGAGTTTGCATTCCATTATATCGATAGAAATCAACTGAACTTAGAAAAGCGCAAAAAAATCGAAATTGAGCGTGAACAAATTTTAAATCTTTTAAAAAATAGAAAGCAACAAGGCTTATTTAAGAGTCTTCACCACATTCATTAATCTTAAAAACTACCATATAACTAATCAATTTGCAGAACTTGATAAATACAACATACACAGTACATTCAAAAAATTTGGAAGTAATAAAGGAATTATAAACTAACTAATCAGAATAGAGACATTTGTAAAATTAATTTGATCAGGTAAAAATGTTTCTGACGTCTTGTAAACTAATAGGAGGAGTCGTTTCCAACGCTGATTTAGCCTTTTTGCACGGTCTAAAAATGCAACAAAATTTTGAACACATCGGATATCATGAAAATATTGACAAAAACTAACGAAATCCAAAACAGAAATTATCTTTAGAAAGAAATTGATTTCGGGTGTTTCGAAATTTTGCTTGCTGGGAGTTTTAACAATACCAAATTTAGTATTCAACAACAACAGGAATCACTAGTTCATGCGTTAAAAAAAACTAATTTTGTAGGTGTCGGGGAGCATTGCTGACCTGTTGTTGAATTGAGGCAGAATCTGGCAGAGTTTATCCTCGACTGAGTTTTCGATCAATAAGAAGTGCACATATGTCTCCCTAAAATAATGTGAGTAAAATTTTAAAAAAGAGAATTTGTTGTTTGAAACAAGTATAAAACGTGTTTTAAACAAGGCGTCATTGAACACAGAGATTAAATGGAGCTTCGCATCAGTTGCGATACAACGCAATCGTAGCAATGCAAGCTAGTGAATAAAAAATGAAAGGGAAATAAATAAGGGGTAAAATAGAAAATGTTGAAAATTCAATTTTAGAAAAACGATCTGCCAACACAACCATCAGCATTAAATAAATTTTATTATTTACCGAGCAGCTACTCAGCCGACAATACGTTGGTAGACGAATATTGGGCCAAAAACAAAAAAACGCCCTAAGATGTTATTGTCATAAAAATTTGGAGTGAGTAAGCTTTCAATATTTAACTTTATACTAGCGTGTAACGGATCTCCACTTCTTCGAACCTTTAACAACCCATAAAAACCGCATATATTGGAAATAAGATCTGCATTCTTTGAGTGTGACAGCACCCAATTACAGGGTTCGTAAAAACAAATTTTTCAAAGTTTTTAATAAAATTTTGTGAAGTTATGCTTAAGTTCTTTGAAAAAAATTTATGAACTAAGAAACGTCAAATGTCGGGAACTAGAAGAAATTGAGCAGTCGCATTTGGACGCAAGATTTGCAACTCCTGAGAGTACTCTTACAGTACCCAACTACAGCGATGGGAAATCCAAATTTGAGAAACTTCAAACTTAAGTTTTCTTAAACAGATATTTTGTTGAAAACCAGAAAAAACGTCACATCCCGAAAACTACCGAGATTTAAGCAGTCATATTTCAAAGCAAGATTCGAAACCCCCAAAGTTACTCTGACAGCCCCCAGCTATAGGAGTAGGAATTTCGAATTTTGAAAAAAGTTTTAATTTAAGTTTTCCGAATTTTTTTTGAAAAAATCACAAAAAACGTCAAATCTGGAAAACTAACAAAATTTGAGCATTTATATTTGAAGGCAAGATTCGAAAATTCTGACAAGCTGAGAATACTCTGATGGCCCCCACTGCAGATTTGGGAACTTCCAATTTTTAGGAAAATATTAAATTTAGTTTTCTGAAAATTTTTGAAAAAATCACAAAAAACGTCATATCTCGAAAACTACAAGGATTTGAGAAATGACATTTAGAGGCAACCCCTGAGAGTACCCTGACAGCACCAAGTTACAGGGTTGAGAATTTCAAATTTTGAGAAATTTTTTTAATTAAGTTTTTGCCTTATTTCGTAAATCAAAAGGATTTGGTTATTTATATATGGAGGCCAGCAAATCACAACACCTGGGGAAACCATCGCAGCATCCCACTTTTGGGCTCCTTATTTTTAACTCGGTGAAATAAACACTGACATCAATATGGAAAAAGGAAAAAAAATCATAACCATTGCAATATACGATATAGCTTAAACGTGAAAATTTTTCGTTAAACATGCAAATATAATACGTTAAAAGCTTAAACGTGGTGAGATTTATTGAGAAATGGTGAAGCCGCATTTAAATATATAATAGATATAATCAATGTTTGCCCTTATTTTTAAATATAATAAATTTCTGCCCTTCAAACGACACAAAATATGTTGTTTGAGCCGATAAAACTTTAGCCGAAACTATTAAGACTGAGTAAAGCTTTTAAGCGAAAAAATACTAAATCAGTGTAAATCAACATCATTTATAACTACAAAGAATACTTTGTGTATCACAAGAAAAACCAAAAACAGATGTGGTAATTAAGCCGACAAACTCTCGCAGACAGACTAAAGTCCGATCAGTCACTTTTCCGGAAACAAAATAATTTCTACCTCCTGAAAAAAAAAGGTCTGACCAAGACTCGAACCCCTAACCTTAAGGTGCAAACGCATCCACTTTATCTCCAGACCAAGTGGGAAAGAGGCTGGAAACTGTTGAGGTTCAAAAACGAGGTTTGTATAAAAAAAATTGTTCACGGGAAAAATTCTTGTTCCCGATTTCAAGAGACTTCTAACCGCAAGTGTAAGAATGCAACCCTATCGCCAAACCACAAAAAACCCTTGTCCAAAAAAAACAATACTGGAGTAAAAACAACATTGAAACCAAACAGACGAACCCAAAAAATCTAAACCGTATACTAAAATTGATGGAAGCATTTCGTTTTGGATTAAAGCTCTCGTTTAATTCAATCAAAAAGAATCACTATTCAACAACCTAATGCGAATAAAAAACCTACTCCATAAAACGTCCGAAAAAAACGCTTAAACAAAAAACAGGGTCAAAAAACAAGCAGTAGGTTATAAAAGAAACAAATGAATAGAAAAGACAACCCTGTTTCAAAAAATAATACTTCCACTAGAACAAAGAAAACCCAACTCAAAAGAAAACGCCAATTCAAAAATACATAATAACACTGACCTTAAGAGAGACAAGCTAGGCAAAAAACTCTGATAAAAAACGCGAAGAAAATAGAAACATCCGAGAAAAAAAACACTCAAATTAATCCAAAAAGCCGTAAAGGTGCCTTCAAAAGTAGCACCAATATTTTCGATTTAGGTTGGACATAAAATACTCGCTTTTGTGTAAGCATTACTAAGCTGACTTGTGTAAACAAAAAATCGTTCCAAAAAACAAAGAATCGTTTCAAAGCAATTAAATAAAACCCGTTTTTTCTTGACCGTTAAAAACGTACTGAACCTTTTCAGTGACGTTTGAATCAGAAAAAAACGCCAACAAGTATCTTTAAACGGGTCAGAAAAAAAAAAGAAAAAATTCCAACAATTAATCAGTTCCAAAAATTAAAAATACCCTCTACGGGAACTGAACCTCAGTCCTCGAACATTCAAACTTTCCAGTTGACTGCCCAACACAATTGTGCCACAGAAGCGTATAGAAATCAGCAAAAGTGAGCTTTAAAAGCACAAAAGCGCAATTTTAATGCAATAATTTGGAATGTAATAAGCTAAAGGCAACCACACTAACTCTGCCGATAATAAAATGAAAAGTAAACAGCCAAAATGAGTATAAAGTATGTATTTCAGATTTTCGCGAAATATGCTAAGTTCGAAAATTTCTGAATAGAAACTTCTCACTATTGTACTGTTGTATGACACAAATATCTCTCTCCAGTTCATTTGATGATTGAAAGAATTATCAACTGTATCAACTTTTTAACAATCAAATGTCAACGCACATGCTAATAAATATCCAATTCAGCCTCATGCTTTAAGAGTATCGCCCAAAAGTAGCACTAATATTTGCGACTTAGGTTTAAAAAATAGCCCAGTAGTATCACACAGCGTTCTGATTAAAAACTGAAATGGTCAGTATTTCATTCCGCGAATAATTCTGGAAAATAAAACTGGCTTTTGAAACTTAGAGTTCTTCATGTTTTCTCGATTCATATCCGATTTGAAATTATAGATTCATTCATTTATGGATCATTTCGCAAGTTAGCAGCTTCAAACAATATTTCGAAAAAAAAACTCCTGGAACAAACTCACCTGCACTGTGATATGCGGTCCACTCTTCCTATGGCCTGATGAATTACAGCTGGATTCAACACTGGCTCCACTATTATTACGTGGTTCGCTTCTATTATATTTAGCCCACTGCTACTCGATTTGTAGGGAAGCAGTAAGACTGGGAACACATTGTCCCGCTTGAACTTATTTAGTACGCCCTGAAAACATGCACTGAGTTCACATCAAAATTTATTTCGGAAAAGGGAAAATTACTAAACACTACTCAAAACACTGGAAATATTAAAAATAACTCTGTTTCTGAAGCATAATTTTTATGTTAGTGAAACTTCGCACAAAATTAATGATTTGCAGCCAACTTAATTTGATTTTTGAACTAGAACTCTTTTCGGAAAAAATTCAAGGAGAACCTGGAATGCTGATCCAGATTTGTGAAGTAGAAAGGGGACCTCATTCAATTCGAAAGCATAAGCAAGAATCGTCAACACTTCGTTCCACTAAAACAAACAAGTTTTTTTTTCACATTATTTGTTTATAAATTTTCAGTCAAGTTTGAAAATGTTTACTCACACTCGAGAATATTAGGACTTTAGCAGTGGCATCTGAATCGATTATTCCTTTCACCAACTTGACCAATTCGTGAGTTTTCGCCGACAAATCTCCCTAAACAACCGCTGCTCAATTGAACAAACTGCAAAATTGAGGAAAGATAAAAGTACAACCAAATACTGCAACAAATGGTGGAAAAACTCATATATGAGGACTGTTTCTAGCAAACAAAGCACGTTTTAAATGATAAGACAATTTGTTCACATGTAAGCTCAATACAAACGCATGTTAATTTTCCATTTCATTTACCCCCAATTTCTAGTAAGTAATTCACCATTAACTCAATTCTTATATATAACAGTCGCTTTCCAGCTATTGCGAAGTATTTGTTCTGGTCTGCCTCATAACCTAAGAAAATAAGCAAACAGGCTGAGCCTTTTTTAAAAACAAGCTCCATCGACTATGGAGAAGTTTAAGCGAGCTCAAAGTTGTCTACAAGTTCTGAAACGGCAAGTTTCTCAAGTTAGCGACCTTTGTGCTATTCTCGATCGTATCGCAACCAAGACGAGTTGAGCGATAAAAAACCGAGCTTGAGCATTGCTTGACTCAATCCTCAAATACTGATCACGAGCTGCTTGATGCTATCTTTGATGATTCAGAATACGACCAAGTATTTGATCAATGTCAGGAAACACAGAAGGCTGCTCGCCAAACTCTTAAAGCCGCAAAGAGAAAGATCATCTCTCAGCCCATCAACTGTTTTGCAACTGCGCAGATCGAACGTACAACAATCACGGCAAGATTACCGCAGATAAATCTGCCTAGCTTCAGTGTCGACTTCACTACCTGGCTAAGCTTCATCGATAAGTTTCAATCAACTGTCAATGACATTGCCAAGCTGTCAGCAGTTCTGAAAATTATGTATGACAGGAGTTTTTTGACCAGCCGCGCTTCTAAACATCATAAAACTGGAGACCATAGAAAGCAAGGACGAGGTAACCTCAATCGCTAAAAATGCTAGAGTAGAGCGCTACTTCCAAACTATTGTCAAGGATTCATGGAATCAATGCAGTTCAAACGGAAAACGTATCTTAGCTTCGTCAGCTGCAATGACACTTCGCAATCAATCAAGGCACTCGGAAGATCAGTAGAAAACGATTTGTGGCATTTCCTTTTTTCGAGAATCTCGATTCTGAGTCTCACAAGGCATGTGAAACTGCTAACGATGGGACTGAAGTGCTTGACTTTGATCGACTCATGTCATTCTTAGACAACAGAGTCAGGAAGAGGTCGTTCAAGGATCTAATTCCAGATCCCATAAACCTGAGCATGAGCAGCACAGCAGATGTTCTTCGCTATAATAGAAAAGATCTCACAAGAAAGGCTTCACTTGACCACAGTTCAAATCTGCCATGACACATACAATGAGTCAGTGTGAGAAACAAAGATAGATGACAACATCAGAACGGAAGGATTCTGCGATCAGCAAAAGGAGGTGCTTCACTTGTTTGTCTGTCAGTCACGGCATCCATCAATGTCCTTCAACATCATTGTGCAAGACATGTCAAAAAAAGCATCATACCACTACATGGCAGTTCAAGCCAACCTAATCTTCACCTCACAGTGACAATGAATGCTCTTCAAATCAAGCGAACTGGAACCATCACAGTTCTTCCAACGGCAAGACTTAAAATTCGATCTCAGAACGATCCATTTCATCACCTGAGGGCGCTCTATGACACTTGTGATCAGACGAAGGTCAAATCCCCACAGAGGCCATACACTGGCTTGACATCAAACCAACTGAAGCTCCAAATCGCATAGTTGGAGTAAACCAGAAGAACGCTATGTCTACCCATGGTCGAATGAATCACAATTCTACCGAAGTCTGGTAACAATTTGAAAGTTTCTTGTGTGGTGTTCGAATACATCAAGAATCACGAGCACTCAAAAACGTAAATTGCAGCCACAGATCTACAAAAGGCCAGCAACTTCAATTGAGCAGATCTATCTTTCGGCAAGCCTAATAGAACTGATCTCTTTTTTGGACAATTCGTCTCCGCACATTGTGAATTCACGGAATGTCAAGGAAAGAACTATTTCCAACCAACACGATACTTGGCTGGACAGCCTCAGTGGTTGCTCACACCGTCCACAGAGTCATACTAAGAAACGAATCCCTGCGGTATGAAATCAATTTCTTTGACAACCAGTCCACTACATTTGACAGATTCTGGGAAATTGAAGATATTCTTTCATCCCGGAATCCCGAAACTCATGCAACAAGCTTGAGTGCATCCAACGTTTCGATCAGACTACGACATATGGCTCAGACACAGATGAACGAGCTAAGGTGAGACTGCCCATCGAGTCACAGGGGACCTATGACGAGATCACCAATGAATGGTGGTCCGATTTTGGTCAGTCAGCACGCAAAGCTTTCCGGCAATTCATTTGCAATGAAAAGCAGCTAACGGCAGAACCGTGAAGCCAAAAACCAATATAATGTTTTCGTCCAAAAGACAATTGACACTGGCAATATAGAGAAAGTACCTGTGTCAGATCAGTTTCTGTCAGTCGGGAAGTACTTAATCATGCCTCATCAAGCAGTTTGAAGTCAGATTCAACGACAACAAAGTGCAGGGCTGTTTTCAACTGATCAGCTCCGACTTCAAATGAAAAATCATTGAACCATTGTCAGCGGATTGGTCCCAGAGCTCTTCAACATCCCTGTTCGGTTCCGATTGCACAAAATTGCAACATAATGCGACAATACCACGATGTAGACAAAGCCAGGAATTCGCGAGTCCTTATGCGCGAATGACTACATGGGTGGTGCAGATACTGAGGAACAACCCATCAGAATCTGCCAGAGTATCAAGGAAACTCTGGAAAAAGTCTGCTTGCAAATTCGAAAGTGGGCAAGCAACCGCAAGGTTATCATGAACGATTTACCCGGCAAACTGCATGAAAACAAAGAATTATTCTCAGCAGCAAATGACAACAGCGTCAAATTTCTTGGGTTCAATCGTTACCCAGTTTCCAACTGATTCCAATACTGGTGTACGAAGAAATTGAATCTATGGCACCGCAAACTTAATCAAACTAGCCAATGCCTCGAGTCTTGATTTTGAAGCAATTCCAGTTGCTGGTGAAAAATCAAAAATGTGCTCAAGTTCAGCCCACAAAATGACAAGGAAGCAGGAACCTCTGGAAACCAGAACCTGGTGCATTCGAAACCCAACCGAGGCCCAAAGAATCGCTTAGATTTTTGCCGAGGAAAAAACAATTTAGGAAATAGATTTCACGAGGTCTCAAACGAATCCCTGGTCAACTCCGGACGCATAAAAATGTTGAAAAAGAAAACAATGAGCAATTACACCTTGACAGTTGCATTCAACAAGATTGGCCAAGTACGAATACGCATTAACAAGAGTCATAAAAAATAGGTTGAGCAAGTTTCGAGATCGATTCTACCCAAAAAGTGGTCAGCTTTGAGCAGTTTTCCGAGTGAAAAAACCACACATCGGAGCAAGTGGCCATCAGTATGCTTTACTGGCTAATTCTCTATTGACAGGAATTATCCAGATGCCTCGTTTAAAAACTTTTCACAAATCAAAACGATTTCACAGGATCCATAATGTGGTCAATTTCGACAGAAATTTTCAAAATGAGAAATCAACCCCCCGCTAAAAGCCACAACGCTTTTCAAATATGCCCAAAGATGTTTTCGAACAAAATATCTGAGGAACAATCTGAAATGATGGAGAGCAGCTCATTAGCTTTACCCGAAAGCACTCGACCACCTACGATCACTCGCCGGAAGATAGCAGGCAACTTTAGACTAGTTTTTGATCACCTTAGACAAGTGTTTTCTGTAACGGTAAGGCCGAAGACTGTATTCCAAAAAACATGGGATGGATATTTAGAATGGGAGGACGATGTTGGGGCACATATAGCGCACCAATTCGAAGACTTGATCGATAGCTCAGGTTTTTTTGTCTTCTCTGGCTGTACTTCTATACTTGGCCCAGGACAGCTTTCAGTAAGTCGATCTTTATCTCTTCTGCAATGCATCGGAGATGCCTTATGGAGCAGCTATCTATGCCAGAACAACATCAGACGCAGGAACCCACACTTCTTTTCTATATGCCAAGTCACAACTTGCACGAAGGAAGACATCATTCCAAAATTTGGGCTTCGATCAAAGGTTCTGGGATGTAGACTCCTGAAATACCTTTCAAAACTTTCAACAAAAGCATCTTCAACCGCATTGCCAAAATTCAACAGATATTACCAGCCGACAGGTGGAAATAGGCTCCAACTCAGTCAAACTCAGCCGATCAAATAACTCGACCAGTAGCAGCAGCTGAATTACAAAACTTGGTGGTCATGACCTTCTTGGTTGCAGACTAGTCAAGTTTCCAGCAACTTATTCCAGCACAGCCAACAAGTCTCGAAGCAAATGAGGAACGAGCTCAAACGGTCAATTGACAAAAACAATCTAGTCATTCAGGCAGCTGGTGGGGAGATAACCACGCAAGCAGCAAAAGCAACCAAAACTAAGCGTCGGATTGGCAAAGCGGAGAGTTCTTCGATTTCGAACGATGGTGATCAAAAATAAATTTGAAAACATGGTCAGTCATCCAACTCCACTTTCTCATCATCCATCCGACACTTCCTATAACGGTCTTTCCGAATCCTCTTCTTCTTCATCACAGGATCAAGGGCTGCAGCCACCAACTCCAGTCGCCTGAAGACCACCCGACACTCCCAGTTCACCTTCGCAACCTTCCGCAATCTCCACCTTCCCTGCAATCAAACCCGACAAATTCAACTCACCCGCCTTCTTGTAGCAACTACCGAATTTCATCTCCACCTGAAGAGTTAGAAGATCGATCAAAGATCAACGGGGCGGCCATTTTGGAGCAAACAAAGCACGCTTTAGATGATCAGATAATTTGTTCTTAAAGAAACTCAATAAAAAACGCAGGTTTGTTTTCTCATAATTTAATCGATTCATTTGCCCACAACTTATAGTAAGTAAATCAACATCGATTCAATTTTGATATGATACAGTCGCTTTCCAGCTATTGAAAGTATTGAAGACTAAAGGAGTTAGTTTATTCCATTTCAAAAAAGAAAAAAAAATAAACGCCTTTTTTATTAATCTCTACAAAAAATCTTTAAAAAAGGTATCTAATCCTGCAGATTCAAATTATCAAGTATCAACACAGAAAAAAAGCGATACAGAAAAAAACAAAAAAAAGTATTGAAAATTAAAAACTTCCATGCTCCAGATTCAAGGCAAGGGCTTAAAAAATAAGAGGCTTACGTCCTCCCAACTCCGCCATCTGATCTTGTAGATAGTCCAACAATAGTAGCACAGCTGAAGCTGGTGGTAACTGTTTGAAATTTTGTTAGAAAACATTTCGCTGATGCGGAAGGAAACGCGTTATTTCCAAATTTCCAAAAATGGACTTCACCCAAAACCAGAGTTTTTTAAAATTTGACGTTTACCAGGGGAAATTCGTTCTCCTATATCTCAGATTTATTTGAGTTAATTTGAAAACTATTCCAATAAAAAGAACGACAAATCTAATATTTGACTTTTCTATCTATAACGCTTTCTCTACTAAACCAGGGTAACGCTCCTAATGCAGGGCAGATACCCAAAATCTGGTCGTTCGAATAAATCCATTATCTCAGGTTTGGCAGTATAATTATTGAGGATATTAAAATTTTTCACTAAAACGGTCAAAAGATTTCTTTTGCTTGGTTTAAACTGATTTCCTTACCAAAATAGGGAGAGGATTATGCAAGGAAGTTTCCCGAAAATATTTTTTCCAATTGGAACATTAACCTCAGATTTGGCAGGGTAAGATTTGGCAGGGAGATTCTCAAAAAACATTTAACCGTTCAAAAAATTTTCCTTGAACGTTTTTTGTAACATTTTTTCTTTTTTTTTCTCAAAAGCTGCTCTTCCAAAACCGACAGAAACGAACGCCTTGAATTTTCCTGAATATGCAGTTTCAAGCAATTTCCTGTAGAAAAGCGATGATTTTCTTAAGAAAATAGCTTGAAACTGTATATACAGGAAAAATCCGTGCACTCTTTTCTTTCGTTGAACCTTTAAAAGCAGTTTTGGAAGAATTTGTTCAGAGATGAAACGTTCACAAAAATTGTCAATAAGCCAAAAACCCAAGAAAAGCATTTTTAAGACTATTTCATTACCTGTTCTTATTATTGAACTCACAATCTCAAACTTCACAGTGCAGTTCTTGTGAAAAAATAACTCACCAAAACACGGTCAAAATTTGGACACGTTATAACGCCATAACCGATTGAACCTTGAATCTCACTATTGACAGTGCATTTTTTCAGAAAATGAAACAAAGAAGAAGCGGAGCTTCGCAACACTTGTGATACAACACAAATATAGCATTGGAAGACAAAAACAATACGGAGGCAACTAAGTCAATTATTATAATTCGAAAAAAAAATTCCATAAAATTTTCGCGAATGCTCTGCATTTTGAGGAAAATATGCCAAGAAGCACCATCACCGCCGTTAAACCAGCATTCAAAACCGTTTGCCGAGTGTCAACTTAGCCGACAACACTTGAGCAAACAACCGCTATAATTTTTACGCCCCATTCTTCGAAACACAAAAACATGATAAACATAGGTCGATATGTTTATACAATTGTTTAACGAAGAAACAAAGCAGAGTTTCGCATCATTTGCGATACCACAAAAAGAGCATTGCAATCTAGCAGACAGGGAAAAAAGGAGAACCACTAAGTCCAAAGAAAACGGAAGAATTTGTGAATAAACCACAATTAAAAACTTCAATATGTTTCTGAAATAATGTTCTATTTGCGGAAAACACGCCCAGAACAATTATCAAGCGAAACTACAAATATTGTCATGAAAAACTTTGAACTATAAACTCTGATCTTCGAGCGACCTAATATAAGGCTAGTAAAATATAAGAATCATGTTTTAAGTGAAAAAAAAAACAAAGGAAAATTTACGAAGTCAAATCTAGATTTAGAATTTGCAGGAATAAATAAAAACATAGTAAGAAACTACAATAAAAACTGCTTAAGGCAAAAAATTCGAAGATGTGGCAACTAAGCCGACAAAACAAGCAGAAAATAAAAAGCCGGCAATTTTTCTGAAAAGGAATATTTTCCTTTGAAAAAGGTCCTGGTCAGATTCAAACCGATGACCTTTGACGTCCCAGGCGTATTCGATACCTTATGACTGAAATTGACGGAGACGCTTAGAAAATTGAAGTAATTATAAACCAAGATACCAAGTGATTCTGTTAAACATGTTGTTAATCCGAAAGAGTATATTGAGATTTGATAACGGTTGCTAATCGCTCGTGTAAAAATTTTTTTAAAAAGGTGCTTTGAAGAATATCTTCAGGAATTTGCAAAGATGCTTTAAAGAAATTCGTGATGCTTTGGACCGTAAGACGACAAAAACTAAACAGACAAACAAAAGTCCAACAATTAGTTTTCCACAGAAAAACTTTTCCACTTAATAAAAAAAACAAGGTCCGGCTGGGACTAAAAAAACAAATCTCATACATTTTCATCAGACCCATTATTATCAAAGAGGAACTTGCCACTAAATAAGCGAAATGGAAAACATGCTTTTAAAATGCTGTTGAAAACATACTATACAGCCACATCATTAAGTGAACAGTTTTAATGAACTTAGATAGGGAAAAAATGGACCTCTTAGTATGAAATTTTGCTCCACGTGAGTAATTACCTGAAATACGCTTTGCCAACTCAAATTACCAACCTTGATATCACCGACGACATTTTTAGAAGATACTTCTAGCTCCCGATTCTCCGTTGTGACAAAACTGATTGTCGAAACAGACGCACACTTTCTACACAGGGGGCACTTCACATTATTCTTCTTCGGGCGCATCAGCGTCAGAGGTGACAGCTGAGGTGGAAGGTTGGGGTCAGCGGTCAAAGAAGAGAAGTTCGGGTCATCAAGCAGAAGAGCAAGACATTTGAGGCAGAAGCTGTGTCCACAAGCAAACACTGCCCACTGTATAAAAAGGTTCTTTGATTTTCAAAAAAAAACCATGTTGTTGATGAAAATAAACTATTATCAAAACAATAGTTGACATTAAAAAACAAATGATATTCACTTAAATCAACTTGACGAAAGCTGAGCTGGTAATTTGAAACACGGCCGACAGAAAGTTGAAAACGTATCGAAGAACTCAAAAAAAGCAAAACAAGAGATGGACTTTTTTTTTGAACATTCAACTTTCGCCACTTGCTATACAAATAGATCTATCAAAATGAAGATAGTTGTCAAAAAACATGTCCAGACAAACGAGGGCAAAATCACCATCGGAAATCAGAATTCAAAAACAAAATATATTTTTTTAAAACTCAAAACAAAAAAAATTCAAGTCCTCCTTCCCCTCAGAACACACAAACGCACACAAAAACTTTTTTCGCAGATCAAACGACGCAAAAAGAGGCCACTAAGCCAATATAAAAAAAGACAAAACCTGAACCCGGAAAAAAATTTTGAATTGAAAAAAAATGAAATTTCTATAAACCGAGTAGGAAAAACTACAAGTAACATAAAAAAATCAAATATCGAATAGGCCGTATACTTAAATGCTAAAAAACTAACATTATCATAATATGTCTGGTGCAACAAATGACCAGCAGATGAATGAGCCCAGGATCCAGGAGATGAGTCCTGTGAACAAAGTTATTTAGGGAAAAAAAGTCTAGTACCCAATTGCAATACCCTTGCTGATCGCAACGCCAAAAAAAACGAAATATACCAGATTGAAGAGCTCATTGAACTCCGAGAATCTGTTATGATTGACGCTTTTTCCATAAAATTAATACAGTTACAGAAAGCTAGTGCAATAGGAAAAATTTTAACTCGCTAGAAAATCTATAGGTTTAATAGCCTCTTTCGAATCTTATTTTCAATCTTAATCGTCGGAACTGAACTTAAATTGAACTCAAAGACAATCCTGAACGACAATCCTGAAATTGAACTTCAAGATAAAACGTGAAGTCAAATTTGAACATAAACAAGCTTTAAATCCTGAAAAAAACTACCTAGAAAAGTGTCTCCACTTCAATCATTGACACCTTAAAAAACACGTCTGTGAAGTTAGCAACACATACATATTCGTCTCTAATACACATTAGGGGATGAACTTTTGGTCATAACCTTATCGAACCACCCTAATTCAGAAATTGTGCAGAGTGAATATGTTGCCACAAACTGAAGCCAGTTATAGAATGAAAAACTAATCAAATCAAGTTAATTCAACATTTCTGATTGCCTAGTTTTAGCCTAGATGAATAGTAAACAAAAAGTAAAAATGAAAATTTTTTTGAGCTGAGTTGAAACTGAACCGCGTTTGGGTTCAAAAATTCACTCTTAGTCTTCGAAAAAACCTCATTTTTAAATTCGAAAAATTATCTGTTAACTAATCTTTACTGTCTTCAAACCTTTGTAATTATTTTGTAAATCATTATGACTAATACTGAGGAATACTATGACTTCACATTCTCTGGCAACAAAGTCAGTTTGAGCTTGATCACGGGACGCAGAGGCAAAGCTGAATTTCACAAATACAAGCGAGAACACGACAAATGCTCTACTGCATTTTGAATGCATGATGATCCTCTAAGATCCCCAGAAGTAAAAATTCAATCGTACGCGGACAAATTCCATCTCTCTGTTCAATACACTGACGTTGTAAATGCATCCGCTAGTTTATGCAAGCATCTAAGCTGCATTGGTTTTTTACACACTTCAAAAGAGTGAGTGAGAGTCTATTTAGTTCCGTCGATGAAGAGTTTAATTAAGAACCGACAAATTCAATGGACTCCGCTGTTATTCCGGTCAAGAGAAATCCCAAAAACTTGGTGTGATTTTTTATCCCTCCTTCAATTGTGCTGAACACTGCTAACCCGCCATGAGAGCCACGCACAGGGTTTCGATCATGAAGGCTCTTTCAGGTACAACTTGGGGTCCTTCGAATGAAATGTTGCTTGTGACGTGCACGGCCTCAATTATATCAAAACTGAACTAGTCGTGCCCGTTTGGTCCTAGGCCGCAAGCGAGTCCCAGAACAAATACAAGTCGTTCGAAGATAACTTTGTGTCGTGACAGAGTGTACGAAGATGAGCTCCATCGACCACCATGCTGAGTGCAAACTACCTACGGTGTCACAACTTGCACTCCTATCCTCCCAACTTCACCTGTAATCTCACTTCGACTCTCACCCTTTGCACTTTTTTCATAGGTTTCCTTTCCCTCCCAGACTTATCAAAATGACTTTTAAACAATTTTTAAAGAAGAACTCGACGAAACAACTTCCGAGAGCAAGAGTTCAACTCTTTTAATGAAAACAGCGACAGAAATTTCGTTTTAAATAAATTTAAACAACTACTAAAATCCATCTAGACAAAACACGTAACTAAGGCCATCCAAGAGGCTCCCACCCCAAAGTCCTCCCACTGCGCCCTCCGGAAGTTTACTCGACTGAGGAACAGTTCCGTCAAGCAACACGGAGCATGTAAGCGCAGTTAAGGTCTGGAAACAGTCTTTTTAAAATTTACTGCATTTCAATTGAACCCAATGTCACCCCGAACTTTCCTCACTCTCCTGCTCGAACACTATCCTTCATATTTGTAACTGCCCTAAAAGCAGACTGAACTCGCCCCCAATAGACCTGAGGCTCTGACCGGCCGAAGTAGCGAAGTTCATGAAACTCGGGCCTAGTTCGCTTGATTCGCTCCTATGGCAAATAACACAAACAAGACAATAGCAAGGAATAGCTCTAAAAAGCCAGAACCAAGTGAAATGAGAAAAAAAGAAAAGGTGAAAATCAGTCGTAAAAATGGTTTGAGCCGGAATCGAACCTGCAACATGTAGTTAAGGAGTCTCACGTACTCACATCTGCGCCACAATCACTCGGAAATAAACTAACACTAGCCACGAAAAAAGCAGCTAGAGACGCTATTTAATTGCCAATGTATAAAAATATATTAAAAAAGCACTTTTGCTTGCGAACGTAGGCCGAGAAAAAATTGCTTTGCAGTATTAAACTACGCTCAACTTGGGGAAGAAATCATTTTGATTTAGAATCAGGGATGCTCAAGAAGCATACTCGCATTCATGGCCAAATGGAATCGAAAAGTATCTGCGGATCAATTGAGCAATCTACCCCCTTGTGGATCAATTGAGCAACCAGTTTCAATTTGAGAAATCATGCGCCAGGTTCTAAAAGGAATGTGCGACACCGAAATTTACATAATTACAACTGAAAACTAGTTTCAGCGATAAAATATTATGACTAAACTAGTTGCAGATTAAGCCGGCTATTTTCAATCTCAATTGGGGTAAATGTGCAATGACTCACAATGTTAAGATACAACATGGATCAAATTTTGGGGTTCAGGTACAAACTTTAGAGTAGTAACAGCCCTGGTTATTTTTTTTTCGAAGCAACAATGATCCAAATGTAAAAAAATCAAACTTGTTTTCTGGACACTTCATAAAAAACTTCAGTCGGCCAATTGAGTCGGTTGCTTAATAGATCCATATGTTGCCCGATTTCTCAACACGATTTCTCAAATGTTAATTTCAACTTGAAATTCTAAAAGGCAACGCAAAAGCAATTCAATATATTTGTCCACACTTTGTAGCTGAGAGAAAAAACTTTGAATTATTTCAAAAAACTAGCCTGTTTCTCAAACGGGCCTTTGCATACAGGACAAGGCTCTATTGCCTTAGACACGTCGACATCCGTGGATCCACCAGCTGTTGAACTCTGCTCGTTCTCTTGCTTAGTCTTCTCCAAGTTTTCCAGGTAGATTTTCCGTCCTTTCCTCTCCAGAAGCTCATTTTCGTACAGGGCCAAATCATTCTCCAAACGTTTCAAAGTTATGGGAACCTAATGAAAAACTTGAGATAAGGTTGTACTTCAAAAGTTCAGGCCAGAAAATATGAAAAAACCTTTGAGGAAAAGTGAAATGGTTCAAATAGTAGAACCGTTAGGATGTGGTGCATTACTCTATGAGAAACAATTTAACCCAACGCTTTCACAGCTAAATAAACACAGAGGCGAAGCGTAGCATTAAAAGATTGAAAAATTAAGCTGAAAAAATGACTTGAAAGTCGAAAAACAATACTACACTTTTTTTTTACCTCTGTCGTGAATGAGGCTCTTAAACGGCCTTAGAAAGCATTGAGAATCAATGACCGAGCGGTAAATAAGGCGATTTCCTCGTTGCGCCCTCTACGAAACTATCATCATAAAAAACTTCATTCCACAAAATTTTTATTTAAAAACTTTAACAACCCACCCCTCCTGAAACAAGCAAAAATATTTCCAGGCTAAAATTTGCTACGCAACATAACAAAGCCAATCTAACATGAACCGAACCCGTTTAACAAAAAAAATAAATACAATTAATCAAAATCAGAGTTAGTAAATTGGAATTTTCCAAGGACAAACAACTTTCTTACAAATTTTTATGGCGCAGCCGCTTATGGGCGAAGACTTTTATCAACCTCATACCTCGATTTAACCCTTGATATCAGATTTGACTGGAATTTTTTCGAGACTAGCCAAAAAGTTTGAAAAGTTTAAAAGATATCAAAACATTGAATTTTCTGAGAGCCATAACTTTTTGTGAGAAAAATTAGACGTTATCGCCATACAGAGGAGCTTCTCTCGATTCTTTTTTTATTCGATCCAAAATCTCAGAATTGGGAGGGTAAATTTTGAGAAAGTTCAAAAAACGGTCAAAAACCTTTCCCAGGGCCATAACAACTTTGAGGAAAAAAATTTGGGCATAGCCGCTAAGGCAGGCGCGCATCACTGAACCTGTTTTTCCGACTGATACAAAATTCATCAAACCAATCTCTCCATAAAACCCAAAATCCCAGAGTAGGGAGGCTAGTTTTCGAGAAAAGTCGAACAGTTTGAAAAACGGTCAACTATCAAAATTTATGTTTTTCCGAGTTTCTTAACCTTTTGCGGAAATTCAATCAGAGCGTAACCAGTCAAACAGGGGAGCTTCCCACGATCTGTTTTGATCTATTAAACCCAATATCTCAGATTCGAGAGAGTAGTGTTCGTTTTATCTATTAAAGCCAAAATCTCAGATTCGGAAGGGCAGTGTTTGTAAAAAAATCCTTAAAGATGGATGAAAAATTTCCCCACAGACTTTTTCGAAGGCTGTAGAAGGTGAAGTACAGTACAAATAGACAAGGCGTAACCGCAGCCACACAGCGGAGCAGGCGGTTTTTTCCATAGGTACCACCTTTTCGTAATTATTGGAAAAAAAAACTTATTTTTTTTTTGAAAAGAATCAAAAAATTACATAAAAAATTTACATAAGCAATTTACTCAAAAAAATGAAATAGAAAAAATCAAACCCCATAGATTTTCTTCATACATGTTTTTATCAAACATGAGCAAACTGTTTGAATCAATAAAAAAACTAAGGTATGGAAATAAATTATTTGAAAAGCACGCCAGATTATATAAATTGCACTTGCAAAAAAAACGGAAAATCAGCCGACAAAGTTACGACGACAATCAATAGATCGAAAAAAGAATCAACTTTTTTAAAATAAAATCTTACCTAAAAGCTTACTTAAGTAAAGTTAATTACTACCTCAAGTAAACTAAGAGTAGTTTAATTTGAATGCTCTGGAAATTGAGCATGTATGAGCAGCAGGCAGCTGAAACTGAAAGTTTACGGAAAAATCTTGTTCCCGATTACAAGTGACTTGCTATCGCTAATGAAATGAATATCGAAATACAAACGTTTATCATGTCTTTATTAATTTATGGTGTGTTTCTAGATGCAATTAAATAATACAAAAGTCAGTAGCACTGCATTGTTATAGTTAGATCTTACCATATGCGGCTTCAATACATTCGTAGACAGCTCTTCATTTCTCATGATCCCATCATTCACTTCGTTGTACAGCCTGAATCTCTCCGTTGCCATTCTCAACTCATCGTGACCTGCCACTCTATTCGTCAGACACCTCCAGAAGTCCCTCAGTTCTTTGAACTCCTCTCTCAGGAGAACTAAGAAAGACTTCACGTGCTTGGCTTGGTCCTGGTTTTCTTTGGTAAGATCTTTAACTGCAGTAAAGGCACTGATAGAGGCGCACACTAGTTCGAGGCGAGAGGGCTTCCAAAGAGCCGCAGGCTCTTCTGCGCTGTCGAAATCTAGGTTATCGTTGGCCCTACAAAAGATATCAAAAATTGCTACTAATTATTATTGCGTCACAAATCCCAGCCATTTGAAGTCCCATTTTGCACTGACAATCTCTAGTGATACTTCTTGACTTAATGTACTTACGCCTTATTGCTCCAATTCGAATCAAACAGAAGCCGCTCATATCTTTGTAGCTCGATTTGCACGACACAAAATTTACACTTTTTCGTTCTCTTGCTCGGCGACGAGATTCCATTTAAAAGGCGTTTGGATTCCTTTTGCAATTTCAAGTGGCAATGGTAACTCTGTGCGATCGATGTATTGTCCAGTTGGCAATTTAGACTGTTAACGCTAGTGCAACACGAGTCTCGCACTTTTTTAACTTCTTCTAGTTGAGAGTAGACGAAATATTCTAAGCCGATTACTGTTCGAAATCTGAAATGACGAAATCGTTTCCGATTAATTTCAGATATAGCGAGTTGATCACCAAGTTAAAACATAGCCAATCGACGATTGGAAAAAAGTAAGGAACGCAATTAAACAAAAAAAACACCCACTTTCTTGAAAAAATCTCAACTTTCGATATTCAAAGAAAAAATAGATGCTCTCTCAGCTCTTTGAATTTCTAGAACAATTTATGACTGGCGATCAATAGGTAAAGTTTTTATTCCGCTGCGAAATCTTAAAAACAAATTCCATTTTCGAAACTAGAAATTGTTCACATTTTTTCGCGACATTTCCACGTTCGTATTTGGAGAGTGCTATTTACGTCACTTACAGCAGATGAATTTCAATTGAACTCAAAAAGTGCATTATTCCTAAGTGCATCAATATTTTAAGACTTTTTCCTGAGAAAAAAAAATCAGCAAGACCTATATAAGAGTCTCCACTACGTTCATTTCTCTTAATCAAGGCCTTGGCACTAGTAGCCTTAAAAACACCAAAGATAACCGTTTGCTTGCAAGTAGTACAAAATCTTCTGACCAAAATGAAGAGGAACTCAACACAGATGCGAAGCGCATCTTCGCACTACTTGCGATGCAACACATACATAGCCTGACAAACCAATCGAAAAACACAGAGATGAAACCCGAGGAAAAAAAATTTCATTAGAATAAATCAGAAAAATTGAATGCCAAAGATTCTTATTCTTTGTCTTGGTTTCAAGAAAAAATGCTAAATAATACAAAAAAAAGCAGAAAAAGAATTAATTTTTCATTGTTACTTTTATTTAATCAGATTAATTACGCATAAATACATCAGCAACAAAGAGTGTACGGCTCGGCTAACACGAACCCAAAAAGGCTGCCAAGTGCTGCCCTGATTTTGAATGAAATCAGTTAAAATGCAACAGATGAAAAATTTTAGACACAAAAACAATTGCTAAAGGCAATAACAATAGAAAAAAATATTGCATATGAGAAAAAATGACTTAAAATGGATCAACCTATTAGCCAATCATACTGATTAAATTATCTACTGAACGATAAATGATTCCATTTGTAAAACACTAGAACTTGTTTGGAATCTGTAGTAGTATAAACAAAAACAGAATTAAAATAGACAGAACCATTTCTCATGCTGAAAAACTCGAAAACCTGCTACTCGAGGCACATCTAATCAGTTTCATTTAACACAATTGAATTTTTTCAGTCAGCGGTTAGTGGCTCTACTAAAAGTGTCCCCACTAATAGACCTTCCGTAACATCAATATTATTGAATGGGATCTTAAGAGTCAAAAGACATCTAACAGCCCATGCAGCAGTAACCAGTGAACTGAGCCCATCAAGCAGTAACAAAGAGGGCATTCAAACGCCAAAAGGGTTTAAAAACCCAAAAAATATATATAAATTAACAGAGACTAACTAGCCTGAGCCGTTCTATTTAAAAATCGAATTAATTTTTGAGAAAAAAAAACAAATCACTACAGCAAAAAAAAAACATAATTGATCAGATCTTCTTTGCTCAATATGAACAGATCGCAAACTTGGAGAGCCATCTGTTGAACATTTGCCTTAGAAAAGCCAGCAAAATTGGTGGAAGCAGTGAATTTCTGGTAAACTATAAATCTTTGTTCCCCGGTGACAAAGTAAAGCTCGTTGCACTTAGCAATTCAGATTAGGTATTTCCATCAAATCAAAAATTGTCCTTCCAGTATTGTACGAAAGCAAGTCGATTTTAAAAGTTTTATTTAGAAACCTTTCTGAAGGATGTCCTAAGATTGATCGCCTGTTAAATAAGCATCAAAACAAAGCTTAAAACAGAGGCGAAGTTGTACTTCGCATACACAAGAAAAAATATGACCGATAACGCTACAGGGAAAAACTGAAAGAAAAAAAATTTTGAGTGTACAAAAAATTCGTAAGTGAAGCACGCCAATTAAGAGCCTACATAAATTCTAAGTGAAGCAAGCTTACTATGACACATTAGCAGTACCAGGAAATTTGAAAAAAAAAACCAAGTAACAAGCCTCACTTTATAGAGCGGATGCATTTTAGCTAGGATACGAAAAAGTTCATTAAAAACATCCGACCCTACCCAGGTTCGAACCCTCTCATTTTGTTGCTGCTGGTCTCCTTGCCTACCTCTACGCTACAGATCCATGATATCTTGAAGCTAAAGTGCTCTTTGTAATATAATAGTCTGTGTTAATATCCTTAGCATTGGCTGTACTTACTAGCTGGTTTTTGATCAAAATGAACACATTTTGTCGCAACAAAATTTGCGTCGCAACAATATTTGCGACTTAGGTTGGCAAAAAGAGAGTTCATACTATAACACAAGCTTTTCTTGTGTAATAAACGGTAACAAAGCCGCCGAAAATTCATGTGAAGACAGACGTTGCGCAGAAAACAATGTTTAAAAAAACTCAAAAAACATTCAAGTCCCTCCCCTCAAACCATTTCGAAGAATCTTTTTGCTCCTCAAACCACTCAAAAAAACGATATTTTACATGCCTGAATCTTTTCAGCAGAAACAAGAGAAAATGAAAATAAATACCACAAAAAAAGCATAGCAAGCTAGCAGACAGGAAAGGAAAGGAAAGAGAAGACACAAAGTGCAAAGAAAACAGAATCATTTTCGAAGAAATCACAACTAAAAAAAACTTAAAATTGCTGTCTGGAATGATGTTCTATTTGCGGATGTTCTATTTGATGTTAGAGCAAAAACTAAACTGTTGTCATAAAAAAAAGTGAACTATAAACTCTGTTCTGAGATTGTTAACATTTTGTGCGATACGGAGGAAAACATATAAATTATGTTTCTTCGAACGACCAAGAATTAGGTTAGTGAGCCGATAAAAGATACAGCGAAATCATTTAGGCCTGAAAACTTTTCAAGCAAAAAAAGGGGAAAATATATGAAATCAAGGCTAGTTGAAGTACAATTTGCGGGAGTAATTGAAAACATAAAAAGCAACTAAAATGAAAGCTACATAAAGCAAAAAACTAGGCTGAAAAGAGACAGAATATAAGCAGAAAAAAATAAGCTGACATTTTTTTTGAAACGGAATAGTTCCCGTTTGAAAAAAAAACAGGTCCTGGTCAGATTCCAACCCAGGAACTTTGCCATACCAGACGTTTTCGTTACCTCCAGACTAAGGATGTCGCAGACGCTTAGAAATTTGAATTCATTATGAACCAAGAGACCAAACGATTATATTGAACAGGTTGTTAACCCAAGAAAAGTCTATAATCCGATATGACAACGGTTTCTAATCGCAAAAATTGTTTGTTACTAAATTTCTTGATGTTCTTTTTCCTTCACAAAATAATAATTTTTAAGAGACAATAAACTAGCAAAACTAATGTGCAAACCGCAGGAGAACTAACCAACGAGTTGATTTCCAAATGATTCTCGTGTCATTTGTATCATTTAGTCTCAAAAATGGAAAAATCCCAACCAACTTTTCTCGACACTGAAACGACACATTAAATTTTCATTGGAATCCATATCAAGATCATAAAAGCTTCAAAATGACACCACTTTCTGAATTCCTTTGAGGTACCAACAAGCTGGACGTAAACGACACACTACTAATCTATAATTCCTTCCCTTCACTTCGAGAAAAGGTAGGAAAATTTACCCTTCACAAATAATCTACTCTATTAAGGACTCGCTTGAATATATCGAGCAAAAGGTAAGCAAATCTAATGCTGTTCAAAAAAAACAAATTATCCAACGACATATAGAATTTAACCAAATTCGAACAAAAAGTTTTCTTTTAAATTTTCGGGCGGTTTCAGAGTTTACAGTCAAAACTTTTAATAAAAATGATAAAATAAAATCACGGAGAGTGCCAAAAAGAGAACACGATTGCTCGTCTAGTGACATAGAAGTTTCGACCAGTTATAACATAGCCAACTGACAGTTGGAAAAAAGTAAGGAACGCAAGTATAGAGAGTTGCAAAAAGTTCGGGCAGACAGTAATGATTCAAAAGAGCAATCTGCCAATTTTGAGCAATTTTTGCATGCAAATTTGAGTTTTATGGCGACATTGACATATACTTTTTGTCTGCAAAATTAGATTTGCATGCAAAAATTGTCTGAAAAAAAGTCATTTGCTCTTTTTAATTATTTTTGTCGGTTCGAACTTTTCGTTACTAATTATAAACAGAAAAAAAAAACTTTTTTGTTGATAAATCTCAACTTTCGAAATCCAAGGAAAAAAATGCTCTTTAAGCGCATTGAATTTCTAGAACATTATATGATTGGCGCTTTTTTGGTAACATTACCCCAAATTGAGAAAACTGGATCAATAAGTAAAGTTTTTATTCCACTGGAAATCTAAAAACTAAATTCCATTTTCGTAACCAGAAATCGTTCAGTTTTTTCGCGCTATTTCCACGTTCGAATTTGGAGCAGGCTGTTTAGGTAAGTTTCAGTAGATGAATTCCAATTGAACTCAGCCTGCGCATATACAAATAAATGCATTCATATATGCATTAAAATGTATGAAAGCACATCTGTAGTTATTCGAGTATCAAGACTTTTTCCTGGAAGAAAAAACAAACAAAAAAGTCATCAAGACCTATATAAGAGTCTTTATTACGTTCATTCCTCTTAAAAAGAAAAATTGAAGAAGATTTCTTTTGTTCAAAAGTAGGCCATTTTTGTGCGCCGTGTAGGGAGATGATATGACTAATTGTTTTTTATGAAATCAAACATTTTCAACGCGTTAACTTTTTGATGTTTTCTTTTTTCCTAGTGCCAGGTAAGAACTACAGGAAGCTTCATTAAACAGTTTTTTGTGAACTAAGTTTTTCACGGCTTAAATAACCAATTTTCTTTTCGCAAGAATTACCCGCTCGCTTTACTCGATCAAAAATAGACGGAAAAAGCAAAAAATTCGAACAGGTTTTTCTCGACACTGCGCAATTTAGTGCAATAAAAAGCACAAACAAGCCTCGAATTAGCAAAAATTCTGCTACGTCTGAGATTCGAACCTGCAACCTAGAGACTAAGAGTGTCAGACACTAACCACTCAGCCACGGAAGCTTACTCAGCCACAAATAAAGCTGCGAACAGATGATATGCAATTTCCAATGCTAACGTGAAATTTTCAAACAAGTGAACACTTTTATTTGCGAGTTAAAAAAAGAAGGTTCGTAATAATACACTACGCTTATTACTAGTATATTTAATTATTTAATGCCATCGAATCGCAACTCAAAAAACTTTACTATGACGTATCATTCGACCCAATCCGATAATTATTTGTGATACCTAATTTTGCCTTGAAAAAGCTTTTTAAATCAAAAACACACCAGAAGACAAACTTCCTCCCCAATTTCAGTGGTTGGAACACACTACTATTCAACAATGAATAAGTTAATATTGCGAAAACTCGTACCTCTGACGAACATCGTACATCTCTGTGAGTCATTGTAACTATTTTTCATTCAAAGTTCAAAAACTAATTCATAACAAGAATGGCCCAATGCTGCGCAAGAAGGGAAAAAATTCTGAACACGCTAATGAAAATAGAAGCGAATCTGTGCTTCGCAAACAGAAGCAAGAAAACGACAAAAATCAGCGTAAAAAGGAAAGAAAAACTTCATGTGTACAAAACTTAAATCAATTCTTTGTTTCGTTTATGTGTGGTGCAATGAAAAGAACTAGACGAAAGCTTCGAACATTAGTAATTTAGGCATCAACGACTTGTTTTCTTCGAAAAAAAGTACTCTAATTTCTATGAATTTAACTAACTTTTGGAAGCTTTTCAAACGGTTTTTCTCGACACTGAGGTAACTTTTCGGAAAAATTTAAATGATAACCGAATCACGACTGCAAGGGCTTGAATTTGATATATCACTCAATTATTTTTTGCGTGAAAAAGATTATAACACTGAGGCGAAGCAAAGCTTCGCATCATTAGCGATACAGCACACACACACACACATAGCCCACAGCACACACCAAGAGAAGGAAGCCACTTAGTCGAAAAACGGATTTTGAAATTGTTTAAAAAAACTATTGAAAAATCTATATCGCGAATGATGTTCAATTTGAGGAAGACAGGTCCAAAAAAAATGCCCAGTGTTGAAATAGCACCATGAAAAAATTTACCAGGCGGTAACTAGACTGACATTTCTCGGATAGATATCCATTGAGACAGAAAAGTGCCCAATAAAAAGTTTTCAGACCTCCAACGAAAACAAAAATGCATTAACTTTGATTTTGCTGTTTCAACGATCTTTTAAGCCGATATAACATCCGCCGAAAGCAATGAATTCCAAATACTCCAAGTGCAAAAAAATTTTTAGTCTCGAACGCGGCTCAATTTGAAGGAAAATGGTGAGAACCACAACCGCTAATGATAAAATTTACACCGAGGCGAAGCTGCGCTTCGCAAACACTTGCGAGATCACGATGAAGATGCAGCTCTATTAAATGAAATAAGAAGTAGAAATAAGCCTCGAATTAGCAAAAACTGGGCTAGTGTCGGATTCGAATCTGCGCCCTAGCACATTTGAGTCTCCCGCAATAACCACTCAGCCACGGATGCTTATAATCCCCAAAAACTAGCCACCAATAACGCAGCTACATTTGCCTATTCGATGCAGCTAAAGAAGCACCGAATACAAAAAGACACAATTTTGCATGTGAGAAATTGGACAGCATAAAGCCCAATTATGTATAAATTATGCATTTTATAAAATTGCGAGATACATTCAGTTGGAAAATATCTGAAATTGAGCTTTTTATCCTTGTACAGCAGTTTGAAACAAATATATTTTTTTTCGGTTCATTTGATGAATTTAAAATGCATCAGCGGTGTTAATTTATTACCAATCAAATGTCAAGCACATGATATTATACTGCTACCGCAGCCAACTGATTCAAAAGTGCCACCAAAAGTAGCACCTTTATTTGCGACTTAGGTTGGAAAAAAAAAGTTCGTACTAATGCACTTTGCTTTCCAAGTGTAATCAAATTGAGACATGGCAATATGGTTAGAAGGCCGTTGAGCCAAAAAAATGTAAAGTGTCATCCCCCCCCCCCCATCGAAGCACAAATAAATTAAAATATATTTTGGTCCGTTAAAAATACTAACATCAATTACCCGCATCTTTACAAACGTTACATAAGGCACTCTTAAACGGTTAAAGCTCTGAGCCTTCCAGGAAGATTTGGAGTGAGCCACAAAAAATAAACAGACAATCTCTAGTACGACAATTCAAGTTTTTCCAGAAAACATTCAAAATCTAAATATGAACACAGAGGCGAAGCTGCAGCTTCGCAAACACCATCTAAAAAGCGGCAAAATATATGGGAGCTTCAAAATGCACAAAAACATAAACTTTGCATGTAGGAATTTGGAATGTAATGCACTAAAAGCAGACAGGTTAAAAACAAGGACCACTAGACCAAAAAGGAAGAGCTGACAAGTTGCTGAGGTTTTATGATATAGCGAGGTCAATTTCTTAGTTTTTAGGAAAAATTGTTTACGGAAAAAGTCTAGCTCCCGATTACAAACCAACTCCCCAAAGACAAAATTCCTCTTCTTTTTGTGGTCGGAACAATAGTGCTTAATACTGAATGGCAAAAAATGTGGACATACTCTTCTCTAACAGTCTTCATATGCCTCTGAAGATCAGTGTAAACTCTGTCCACCAGCTCATGTTCCCATCCTCCCTCCACCACACACTCACTGATCTCCGCCAGCCACGCGTTGAACTCAATCTGACAACAAACACAACTACACAATAAGAAACCTTGAGGGAAATAAAAGCTTCACAGATTGGTATTTAGAAACATAGCCAACAGACAGTTGGAAAAAAGTCATGAAGGCAAGGAAATAGAAACATAGTCAACAGACAGTTGGAAAAGAAGAGTCAATGAACACAATTAAGCAGAAAAAAAACTGACTTGTTTTTCGAAAAACAACACTTTCGAATTTCGAAGAAAAAATAGATGCTTTTAAAGCTTTTTGAATTTCTAGAACAATTTATGATTGGGTTTTTTCGATAAAACTAGCACCAATTTGTGAAAACTGGATCAATAGATAAAAGTTTTATTTCGCTGGGATATCTAATATTCCATTTTCGAAACTAGAAGTCGATCAAATTTTTCACGACCTTTTAACTATGCTGTTCAATGGTGGAATTTGTCTTCCTTTTAACAACGGAAATGGTAGAAAACAGTAAAACCGCGAAACAGTAAATTTGAGCCTGAAAAAGTTATAGACTTTTCCTGAAAAGAAGACGAAAAAAATCTTACAACACTGACTTTGGAATTTCAAAAAAATAATGGCGTTGAAGCTCTTTGAATTTCATGAACAATTTATGATTGAGATTTTTTTTTGACAAAAACTAACCCAATTTGAGAAAACTGGATCAACATGTAAATTTTTTATTTCGTTGGAAAATCTGTGAATTAAGTTCAACTTTCGAAACAAAAAAATTGATCTTTTTGAGACCTTAACTCTTTTGCTGTTCGATAGTGCATTTTGCCTTCCTTTTAATGAAGGAAAGGAATAAAGTACAATAAGAAAATGTATAAATAAGACAAGAATTAGCGAAAATTCGGCTACGTCTGAGCCTGCCATTGAGAGTCACACACATACACAAACTAACGGATGCATTTTAATACAGAGGATTAAACAGGTTACGTAGCAGTATTTAGAGAACCGCATATTCAGACTCGTTAGTAATTAGACAAATAATGTGTTAACCAATCAGAGTCGAGAAAGGAAGAAATCAATAATTAATAATTATTTATTTCGTAAATTTGCTTTCTCATTTCGATTCTGATTGGTTAATATGGTATTTGTCTACTTACTGACGAGTATGAATACGCGGTTGTCTAAATACAGACCGCAATCCGATTAAATACTGGCCACAAATGAAGCAGAGAACAGATGCTATGCAATTTCCAAAGCTAAAGCGGAATTTCTAAATAAGTGAACACTTCTAATGGTGGCCAGTCAATAAGCAGAATGGGTCCAAGAGCAGAAAAACATCAACTTTTTAAAGCTAATTGGTATATTAATTATCAGAAATGTCAAAAATACCAAAGCAACGAATAATTTGTGCATATTTTGCGTAATTTAATCAATAATTAAAAAAAAAATTTAATCAACAAACTTAATAAAATTAGTCAATTCATGCATAATTTATTCGATTTCTTGGTAGTTTTTGACGATTCTGATAATTGTTTTTCGATTTCTTGGTAGTTTCTGACGATTCTGATAATTGTTTTATCGATTAGCCAGTATAAACCAATATACGTCAATATTTTTCTGTTTTTCTGCTCTTGGACCCATTCTGCACTTGGACCATTCTGCTTATTGCTCCGCCTCAACTTTTAATGTACACTTTTATTTGCGATTTAGGTTAGAAAAAAAAAGGTTCGAAACAGCCCACTAAGCTGACGCTAGAGTAAATAGGGGTATTTACCGTGTTCTGTGAGCTCTCGGAAGATCAATTGGGTAAAAAACTGAAAAGTTCGAGATCCGCCCTTAATATAGCTCATATTAAGAAAAAATGCCGAGTAAGACCGTTGAATGTTTTAAGCCCCCTTGAAACATTTTTTGCCAATCAAAATACGCAATATGAGGCCATTAAGCCAATATAATCTAAGCAGAAACCTATTGAGCCGGACCATTCATCCGCTATTGCAATTAATTAATAAAAGTAAAAATTTCACAGTTTTTCGAAATCATATGTAGATGTTGTGGAAGATACTGCTCATTTGTTTAATTTGACGAAATTGGTGATTGTTCCCTTGATCCAGCGATAAACATAGTCGGAAAATTCTGCGCTCTTTGTACAGCTACAAGCTAGTTTTTTAATATTATGCAGCCGATATAATGGTAGAGGTTTTTAGTTCATGGGCCTCGTATTGAAAAATTCCTTGAAATCTTTGATTTGTAACATATCTTTTATTAGTGCAGTACCTTTGTCTTGATGCAATATCTTTTTGATGCAGATTATATTTTTTATGTTCTTCATACCTCTCTAACGCTTTTTATACTAGCTATGAATTTATATTTTGTGAACATCTATCAATTTTTATGAATTATCATACCTTTTTATTTGTTTTCATTCACACAATTTGTTTAATTGGAACTTCGATGGTCCAGTTGCAGTTATATATTTGTCATTCAGTTTCAGTTATTCAAAGAAACTATACATTTTGAAGCGTAATAATATGATGCAATAATGATTATATCCAATTGTGGCGACAGAGCTTCAATCGAAAACTCGTTTCAATTTCAGTTGCTGTTTCAGTTAGAAAAAGGCGAGTATAAATACAGTAAAATGAGAGGACTGAACATTTTGTCTCGTTTTGCATCCAAAATACCACACGCCAGAATTTCTGAGAAACTTACTTCAAAATCAAACAAGAGAAAAGCAATTCTTCATCGAAATCAAAGGATATCAAATCTTTGGAAGAATCTGATTTCTATATATTTAAAGTCCCATTTGAAAAATGGATTCTCAATTTGGAATAGATTATTCATCAAAAAAATTCGTGGTTTACAATCTCTCAGAAGATAACGCCTGTAAACTTGAAGACAGCGAAGAAACCTTGCACACCGATGACTTGAAACTTGCCGCTCTTTACGGCGAAATGATTCTAAAGAGCTTAGCGCCGATGATAATTTCTCTTTTGCTGTGCGTGTACTACAAGCGTACATTCGGAGATGCCCGCAGAGGTTCGCCAGTTCCAACCTCGCTCAAAATGTTGGCAAGAGATGTTTCGGAATTTGACAGCGACGATATCTTGAAATTCCTTGCGAACTCAATCTTTCTGGGACTCCTCTGGAACAGCAGTGACATGTTTCTGCATAACTCGAACAATGTAGCTGCCTTCATGTAAGTATACAATTTCAGTTTAGTTGTACTGCCGGGTCTTTTCTATTATTCGGCCCAAATTACCGAAACGTTTTATGAGCTATTTGTTTCAAATAATATACATTCAACTTGAAGTTTTTCTTTTTGACAAAAGAAAAAATCTGGGCTTACATAAAAATAAACATTTTTTTCAGAGCTCTGTCTCAGCTATTGCGAGTGAAAAGATTTCAACACATTCTCCGTTCAGTTCGAACTGTGTTCGGTCCCGCATTCGGGATCTGCCAACTGGCTAGTCTAGTCGACTCTAACTACACTTCAGTCATAGCCTGGATTCGGCTGCTTCTAGTGCTGCTTGCTTCCACAGTGCTAAGACCAGATAACAAATGGACTCTGCAGAAATTTACAACCCGCCCTGTGAGAGTTCAAAGCATGATATTCGCACACGGAGCTTGCATGTTTTCGACTTCGATGTTGGTCATCTGCAATTTGAACTGGGAACTCATAATTTCTCTACTGACTGCCTTTGTTATGATTGCCTTCTATTTTATTACTTCCCAGCTTCCCAAATTTGTACTTCATAAGTGTAAAAAATATTGATAAATGTTCATATATTTAGAAAATTGTACTTTAATCTTTAATACTTCAGAATAATTTAAGCGATTGCAATTTGAAAAGTTTTTATAAGTAAGTTCTACAGAGCAATAAAAACTAAAATAAAAAACAAACGCTGATTATGGACTTCTGAGAGTGGGCATAATTTAAAGACAAAAATATAGAAACAAGGATAGCAGGTTGCTGTGCAAGTAGCACAGAATGTTTCGACCACATTCTCAGAAAAAATATATATTTTTTTCTAATTAGTGTCTTTTCTTGCGCGTTGTGTGATGAAAAAGCTATACAAACGCGTGGAAAATAAATGAATTACGCATAAAGGACTACAATTGCCTTTAAATATTAAATGAAAAAAAAAACTTTATTTTCCATTTTTGCACTTAAAATTTTAATATTTTTGAATGTTTTTTTTTGACAGAGGAACGCTAAATAAAACTTCCAAAAGTATTTTTTCTTTTCGTAAAACAAAGTTTATTTAGCATGGATGCTAATTTTCATATATAACGAACGTTACTCTATCGCTATACTCGCTCAAAATTTGACTACAAACTGTAAATCAGTTTTTCTCGACACTGGGACAACTTTTTGAAAAAAATTTAAGACCGTTCGAACCACGACTAAAAGAGGGGTCTAGGACAACACGCCGACGGGACTTCAGGCCAAAATAAAACTTTACAAGCACCTAAAACACTATTTTTCTCATCTGTAAAAAGTTCATTTTCAAAAGTTTAGTTCATAATAAGCGTTCTTCATAACAATGCATCACTTATGCTATCAGATAGTTTGATCGGCCGAATTTTAAAAAGCATAATTTATACACATGAAAAACCCCTTCAACAATGTTTTAATTTAAAATATTCCTAAACATTAATTAGAGGCTCAAAATTTATGAAAAAGCTAATAACTTGTAAGGAAAGCTCATGAAATTGAAAAACTCTTCGAAACAGGTTTCAAATTAATCTCAATTTATGACTTTTTGACAAAATGGTCGGCTTGAAGTCTCTTGTTTTACGACTCGGCTTGAAGTCCCGTCGGCTTGATATCCGGCACCCCTAAAAGAACGCTAATATGATACATCACTCGACTCACTCTGATGATAAATTGTGATACGTGATTTGAGTGAAAAACGAGAATAAAAAATGAAAAACACGTGGTTACAAAATTCCTACCCAAGTCCAATGATCAGATCAAAAAGATAAACGTGTAGACAAACGCAGATATATCAATTATGATTGCCAATGAAAAAATTCAGATGATTCGGTTAAACTGGAAGTCGTAAAACAGCATCATAGGAAACTCACGAAGGGTTCAAACTATTAAGAGGGGTGTGCGGCCATGATGCCCCTCAAATTTTCTATTTTGTTGAGAGAGTCAACGTATAACAAATTGAGGTAACACTGCGCTCCGCATATATAGGAAAACTCATTTCGAGCTTCAGATAAAAATCTGAGCCAATTTTTATTCAAATTATTTTCGAAAAGCGCATTATTTACGGTCAGCTCGGAAAATGTATTCAAAAATACGACTCAAAAACGGAACTAACCAGGAAACCCCAGTAGGTAGTTGATGAAAAAATTATAATTTGATCCCTAAAATCAAGATGGGTCTCAGAACAAAACTTTTTAGGACTCAAAATTATCGAAAACATGTTCGGCGGATTTGTTTGAACACTTTTGCAAAAAATGCGGGACCCATCTTTAATATGTACTTTTTCCTGGGAGCCAACAATTATTATATTACAAAATGATTGAAAATTATTGAGAAAATGCGAGTCAGTTGTTCAAGATCATGTTTACTGACAGCGTTATAGCAGGTCGAATTCAGTTCGGAAAGACAAAAACGATGTATATCTTGAAGTTTAACAAGGTAACAATCAAAAAATTTAACAATTCATTTTATTCATTGAAACCAACACCTCAATATTAGATCGCTTAGTTTTTGTGATAACGAAAAAAAAAACATCAAAAACATCGGTAATTTCTTCCCCCAACAGTTTTTTTCGAAGGCTGTAGACAAAGAGGTAAAGCAAAAAGAGACCAGGGTATTCTATATTTAACCCATTTTTGAAAAACGATCACAATTTTTTTGCAAAGCGTCTCAAAAAATAAATTAGAAAACCCATACACTTTCATAGTGATTGTTTTATCAAACAGAAAACCCAAGCAAACATGTCAAGCAAGACATTTAAAATTCAAATGAGAAACTGAACAAAACTTCCGAAGCGGAAACAAGTCAGACAATCTTTGGGCAGACACCAGTTGAACCGCAAAAAAACTGATTTTGTAAAATACTTCATAAAATAAATTCTCCCTGAAATTACCCTGGAGTAATAAGTACCCACACCGTACCTAAATTTGACACATAGGCGCAGCTACGCTCTGCAGACACCTGCGAGAACACGACCAAAAAAACGGCTCTATCAAGTGAAGAAAAGGCAGAAATAAGCCTCGAATTAGCAAAAACTCGGCGTAGGATTCGAATCTGCGGCAAACTGCAATCAAGAGATTTTGAGTTTCACGTTCTATCCACTCAGCCACGCAAGCTTAACAACCGACAAACACTAGTCACGAATAAAGCAGCAACATATGCCAATAAATTGCAATGTGATTCAGCAGTGGTACCAAACACAAAAAGACTCAATTTTGCAAGAAAGAGTTTGGAATATAACACACTGAAGGCATCCACACTAAGTATGTAACAAATCGCAAAGCATCCAGCCAAAATATGTAAAAATTATGCATTTCAAAAAATTGCGAGATATATTGAGTTAGAATATATTGAGCAAGCAATAAGAAATCGAGTTTTAATTATTGTTCTGTTGCTTGAAACAAATCATTTTTCGGTTCATTTGATGAATTAAAAATGCACCAACTGTGTTAACTTATTGCCATTCGAATGTCGAAGCACATGCTACGAAAACGCTGTAAAGGTGCGCCAGAAGTGGCACCAATATTTGCTACTTAGGTTGAAAAAAAAGAAGGTTCTAACTAAAACACTCACCTCGCAAGTGTAAATATTCATGAAATTGAGCATGTCATTCAGCTGACATGCTCAATTTCATGAAAATTCAAATTTGATTCAATTGATTTTGTTAAACTAGTTGTTAACCAGAAAAAAAACTTCATTCCGAGGTTTGATAACGCTTGCTAATCGCAAGCGTAAAAATAATGTTCTGAGAAATTACTTTCTGAAACTTTGTACAGAAGATTTTTCTCGAAACTGTTTTTTTATTGTGCTAATATGTGTTAACGAGAAAAAAACGCTATTTTTTTTGGAAAATTTCCAGGCCGGGCGGTTCTTACTAATACGAGAAAGTTCGTACTAATACATTCGCTTCGCAAAGGTAATAACAAGAAACTTGGAAGGGGCAGCTAAAAAATCATATTCGAATTTGATAATGCCATCGAGCCGTATAAGGAGGCTCTTCGAATGTCGAAATACTCGACTGCAGCAATTTCGGAATTCGATATCTTCAAATAACGTCTTGATCATCACATCTATTCTTCATTCAGCACCCTTCATTCAGAGCTTCATAAGCATCGTCCTGCGAAAATTTTTGTTGCTATCACATGGTTCAGCGAATGTAGAGAGTGGCTTTTCTGTCAACCAAGATTTGATTGAAGACCACCAACAACTCGATACTTTAGTGGAATTGCGAAAATGAAGAGACGGGCTTCAACATACTGGAGGAGTATTGAAGTCTGATGCGAGAAAAAATTCTTTTATCAGTTCGTGGAGCAAGAACAAGATATGGAAACGACTTGAAAAACAAAAAGAAAGATAATAAGAAACTCACATTGAAACGAAAAAAAAAAAGAATAATTAGACTTTCTGCTGAAACCAATCGCCTGAGCGACGAATCTGAGTATTTGTTGCGCTTGGGGGATGGATAAACTGTGGAAATCTTATAAAAAAAAACAGGTCAAAAATGCCGTTTTTGGCCACTTTTTGGAAAAATTGGACCAAAAAATTGCTTTTTTTTCGGCGCGCGCTCCCCTTTAAAATTAGTATATATTATCGCATTTAGAAAAGAAGTTAAGGGTTGGTCAGCCGAAAAAGGCTGTCATAAAAACATACCAAAGGGAGGACAATTTTGTGGGTGAGGGGGACGAATTCACCCCTGCTTTTAAAGCAAAGTTTTGATGGTAGTTTTTACAAAGACGATCACACACGATTAAACACGATCACAAAAAAGTATGAATTGAAAAAAAATGATAAATTTAAAAAAAAAATAGGTGAACCAAAAATTTTCGTAAGTCTCGATGAAGGACACTAGGGATCAGCTAATGCTGGAGGTACGTGTCTGATACTTTTGAATTTGTTATACTGATAAGGTACTAAATGCGTAATTTCAAAACTTGAAATTTGCCCAAAACCTTAGTTGTGTCTCTAATAAAATTAAATGAACAAAAACTACAAATCCAGAACTGATTTCTGCTTAAAGCAGGCTATGGCCGGTGAAGTAGAGAAAATTCCAAAAATCGGATTACTCGCTTGAAAACTTAACCTCAGAATTGGCACAGTAACTTTCGAGTTGAGTAAAAAAAATTTCCAAAAACGGTCAGTTTCAAAACTTTCACTTGTTTGAAGGCCATGAATTTTTCTAAAAAAAAACAGCGTAGGACATTAGGAAGGTAAGCTTCCGACAACCTGTTGTGTCGATTAAACGAATGATGTCAGATTTCGCAGGTTAGTTATCGAGAAAAGTCCAAAATAAACGTTTAAAAATCAGTTAGTTGACATTTCCGCGAATCATAGTGTTGAACATGAAGAAAATCACCTATATTGAAACTTCGATAGAACCCAAATACCCAGGTTTTCACTAACCCAGGTTTTCCCAAAACTATCAAAAAATTAAAATTTTGATTTTTCCGAGGGCCATAATTTTTCATGTCAAAATAATTCGGGCGTGGTCGCGTATGCAAAGGAGCTTCCCACAGCCCGTTTTTAGGATTGAACCCAAAATCTCAGATATAGGAGGTATGTTTAGGTAAAAACTAGGGGAAAAAAACGATCAAACAATCAAAAAATTTACTTTTCCGAGGACGATAACTTGATGCAGGAGAGCTTCCTTCTACCCGTTATCTCCATTGAACCCACAAGGTTCGTTAGGTTAGTTTTCGAAGAAAAATTTTCAAAAAACAGTCAAAAAAATTTAAAATTCTACTACTCCGAGGGCTACAATTTTTTGTGTAAAAAAAATTTAGGCGTAGCGGCTTAAGGAGGACAACTTCTCAAATGCGTTTAATTCGTTGAAACCAAAACCTCATGAGCAAAAAAGCAAAAAGAGACTGAGAAATTTTTTTCTGAAACTGTTTCTTTTATTGTGCTGATAGTTGTGTTACAAAGACATAAGTTATTTTTTTCGGAGAATATCAAAGCCAGGCATTCATTTTTATCAGTTCCAAAATCAGTGCTGTCAGTGTAGCAATTTTCTGGATACCGTGGCCACCTTGTTATACTAAATCCGCGGTCATGCTGTTAAGTTAACGCAGATACAACTTAATATACAAAATTGTGCATTGAAACGTGCGACTTAAATTGGGAAAATTGTACTGGTAATATATCAAAATCATCAACACTTATAAGTGATAATCACTTTGTTCTATTACACTTAACCAGCGTTGATTGTGAAATTGAAATTAGATTCTTACCTTCTTTTTAATTTCTGTTATCTTGGAATGTATTTTGTTCCATTTTGAATGCGCGATAACTACATCTTTCTCAAATACCGCAAGATATTCCAACTTCAGTGATCTGCACTAAAACAAACGCAAGCAAAATTCGACAGCTGCGAAAATGATAATATTCTATTAGCCTTAACTGAAGGTTGAACTGAAAAATTACCTCTTCGAGCAACGTTGCATCTCGCATTGTTTTCGGCATCAAATCTTCGTAGCTATGCAATGCAATGTGCAGATTGAACAGACTGTGGATTCTAGGCAGGGCATCTACTCTTAGTCCTTCCAGAGCATAGTTGGACACACGTAGCAGGACATCTCGGTACACGGCTACTGCCTCCACTAACTTCTGCGTATCAGTTGAGTCAATCTGTAAAAGAAATGTCTAATTGTTTCTGGGGTTTTGGTGTATACGGTAGCGAGGAGTGCGGTCTATATTTAGACAACCGCGTCAGTAAGCAGACAAATGCCATATTAACCAATCAGAATAGAGATGAGAAAACGAATTTATGAAATAAATTATTATTAGTTATTCATTTCTTCCTTGTCTCGATTCTGATTGGTTAATACAGTATGTGTCTACTTACTGACGAGTCTGAATACGCGGTTGTCTAAATAATGCTACGTAACCGGTAGCGATGAGGCCCATCAATCAAATGATTGCGGTTTCAAATCACATGTACGCAGCAATGTGCAAGTTGAGCGCTTACAATATAGCCAATGCTTGATGGCCTCATGATTGATTGAACTCTAGTTCAACCTTAAATAATTAACCTTCGATTTAGAGGCCTCTGACTGGTTGTAATAACATTTTTGGGAGGCGCTGAAAAGATTTCCAGGTTGTGTTGAAATGTCGTAGCACACATCAGCCCCACCCTCGCGCGAGCACGCACGATCCCGCATAAGACTTATTGTTTCGGCAACCCACGAGCATTTTTGAAATTAAACGATAGGACACATTTGAAAATTGCGCTTCTGCGAGTTTGAAGAATTGAGCTCTACAGGTCGAGATAAATTTGAAATGAGCGGTTCTGTAGTATATTAAGCAAACATAGAATCTTCAGCAGTTTCCCATCATTCTGCGAAACTTTGTATGATGGTAAAAAAATTAACAGAATGTAAAAGGTAGAAAAATTGCTCAATTGATCCTACTTAAAAATTTTTATGGCTTCTATTATCATAATTTATTCTAAAACCAGTTATAATAAGTAAAACTTCAATAAAAACAGAAGAAAGGAAAAGCACACCAAAAAAACTACCTCATGCTGTAGGAGCTTCAGTCCCGCTATTCCATTCAGACTGCTACATATTTGTCGCACAGTCTCTTCACATTCACGCACTGCTTTGCTCTTCATCTCGCCTAATAATTGGCCCATCGTCATAAGTCTGTTATTGCCACCTGCTGCTCCGTCAACTGCACCATGTAAGCCCCAAGCGCCCATCACCATCTGAGGATGAATGCACGATTTTCTAAGATCACCAACAGTAGAGAGAATCTGAAAAAGGCAAAAATAACTCTATCACAATTTCAGACACAAGAGTAACACAAAATGAAGATGCAGTTCGGGAACCCAAACGAAAACTAAAAAAAAAATAGCCTTGGAAGAAAATAATTATTGATAAGTAATCAATATAAATAGATATAATAAATATAACGAAAATCAACAAAAACATGCGGGATTTAAACGTACTTCACGCCCAACAGTGTCACTTGTCTCAACTACTAAGAGATGGCAATTTGGTTTTAAAAAATTTCTTACAGACTTTATTCTTTGATATCAGGCAGCAAACAGCGCTTTAAAAAACAGTTCTAGAAAGATATACCGTTTAAGCCACAAATAAAATTCCCTAGAATCTTCGATTAGAAACGAAAAAACCTTATAACACTACTCTGCAAAGCCCACTTGAAGGAAATAAACAAAATGAACAACAATGAAAATAAAACTCTCCTTCAACTCCTTAAAACTTAATTTCAAAAAAAAACAATTTCACAATAAACATTGGTTAAAATACATGTTGATACTAAATGAAACTATCACAAGTAATTTTCAATCAGCTAATTTTCACCCAATAAAAGTGAATAAAGCACTAATAATAAATATAAAAATTACCTCTAAAACAAAAATTGATCTGCCAATGGGAATTTGTTTGTTTATGTCTATCAAGAGCTTTTTAAATTGAAATTCAAAGTCTTGTTTAGATTTAAATTTTCTCAGCTGCACCTTAAAACTATTCCATTTATTACAACTATTGTCTGCTACAAAATTCTTTCCCCCTTGGTTTTTATGAATCTATTTTGTTTTATTCGTCGGTTTATTATTACAGGTGGTCTATTATAAATAAAAGCCCAACCCATTTTGTTTACCTTAATCTTTTTGCCACATCGAATATTCTAGAAAAATATGTTGGGTAGTGAATAGATCGGCTGATTTAAAAAGATTAATGCTTGTTCCTAATGGTTAAAAAAAGTGGCACGCAGTATGCTGATTCATTTTAGTTTAACATTTGTTTAACTCAGCTGAAAAAGAAAGATTTTTGTCTGCTAAAACTCCAAAACACCTGGCATGTTCTTTCATCGAAACTCTGTTGTATAATTAAAAAAAACTATTTTACCCAAAAACAATGAGTTCTGTTTCATCAGCATTGAGAACAAGTTTCTTTTCAATCAAATATTCATGTACTTTCTCTGGTATCTCCAGCATCGATGTTCTTTTTCCGACATTGAAACCCCTGTACATTGAAAACTGGTCTTAATGTACGTTAAAAACTGGTCTCTCCAACATACGCCCTTTACTTTCTGAAAAGATAAAAGAAACAACAATCGGCTACTTCAGACGTGATTCGAACCGCTAAGAAAAATTCAGAGAAAATTTATTCAAAAAATGCAATTAAGGGTTTTGTTTTTGAGGGCTGAATTTTGCACCGTCAAAAAGTGGTTTTAATTTAGGACAGTAAAAAACGCATTTTATAGTCTAACTAATCATTAGTTTTGGGTTATTTTGGCATCCCTCCGCTCAAATTTGAAACTATTTAATTTTTTGAAAAAATACATGTGGTCGGAGCTGTGGCCTACTTTCATAGCATCCTGCTACATTGTTGTTTTCCATTTTGTTTTGAGTTATTGGCACACTAAATTTCATCTCCTCCAAAACATTAGACAATTATACAAAAAATCGACAAACCTACTTTCATACATTTACACAACCTTGAAAGCCTTTTAGCATTCGTATTAATTTGAGCTTAGCCAACAGAAAGTTGGAAAAGTGTTCATGAACTGATGAAGCCAAAAAACCTTAAAGCTATTGTAATATCAAAACTCGTTCCATTCATGATTGACAATTTTTGATAAACTAACTCAACTTGCAAAACTGCATCAAAAGGAAAATTTTGAATTCCACTGAGAAATGGTAAATCAAATTTTGGAACTGTAAACTCAGCTCCATTTTTGCCCTATTTGCACTTTTGTCACCGGATGGCACAGTTCGTCTCCACTTAGCAACTGAATTGGAATGAACTTTTTAAAAAATAGAAGTCAGGCCGCAAATTTATATTGAGCCTGAATAAAATTAAAGACTTTTCTTTAAAAAACATACTAACTAAATGAGTAAAAATTTAGCTCGTGCATTAGCACTGAATAAACTTCTCAACACAACTTCGCATTTACATGAAAATTGCTTCAGTCAAACATCTCAAACATACTGAGACAAACAGCCACCCTTTCATACATGTAAACAGCTTTAAATTCGAGCCAGACCAACATTGAGCAACTCACTCTTTTCAATTGCAGAGTGTGGGAAAATGGCTACAATTCCAGAACTAGAACTGGTTTTCAGCGTAAATAGTATCGGTAAATATAAACGGTCAAGCCACCTCAAGAACGTCTGCTGGTTTGTAGATCTCTTCTCACTTCTTCAGAAGAGCTGCACAAACACGATTTCACCTTGTCGGTTATTCAGGTTATAATAGGTGAATGAGTGGTGCTTACATGGATTAGCTGAGAATAGGCAGACAAACCCAAAAGCATACATGCCAAACTATTTTTAAACTGTAGGTACCAACGGGCGCAACGCCTCAGTAGACTGAAAAACCTGCTTCTACCATAAAACTTTCATATAAATATTAACAAATCTGAAAAGAGAAACTTTTGAAATCGAAAAGCATTTGCTTTTATGTTGCTTAGAACTTGACACTCTTTGAAAACAACAACGTCGACATTTCATTCTCTAGGAAACTAGATCTGTCTACTCAAAGACTAGGAACTAGTCGACTTCAACTTGTATGTCTCCGCTTTGGAGTGGAATGAACAAGTTGTAGTTTGATTTCATTTCACGGAAGAGTAACTGGCCACCCATTCATAGTCCTGTTGACTAGTTAGTTAAAAGTCCTGTTCAAAGTACAAGAGTGAGAAGCCCAATTTAGGCTGAAATGCTATTGTATTAAACTTATTCTTCCATTTAGTCACCCAGATTAGTTACGCTACAAATAAACAAACAAGCATGGCATCGGATCAGAAATAATGAAAACGAGGGTCTGACTAAGGGTTGCTTTACGAGAAACAGATTACCTGATAATAATTTTATCATTAAGCGTTCAAACAGGTTCTGCAGAAGCTGGTTCAAAAAGATACGCAGTAAAAAAGTTGAAAACAGTTAATTAACTGAATGAAAACTAAAAAAAAAGTGATTTCTTTAAAATTTTCCTATTTTTAAGTTCCATCGCCTTAGTCCAAGTATCTCAATTCAAACTGTCATCCCTAAAACTGGTAATAATTAAACATTTTTAACTAGCGACATCGAATTTAACTCAGCGAGAGACTTTGAGACTCAAGGGAAAAGCCTGAGACTTAATCAGAGCAAAAAACACGTGAAAGAACCTCGGTCACAAGCGATTTTTCAAATTACCTTATTCGCTTTGCAAATGCAGAAGGTAAACGACGCGCTTTCCTGGCATTATAAAAACCATACGAAATTTTGTGTCTGTACGTACATAAAGGAAAATGCAGGCAGTGTTTGTGAACGGTATTAAATAGCATTCAAACGGTCAATTAACTAGTGAAGCGCAAAATTCTTAGAACGTCTTTTGTGCTAAATTACTCAATATTTTCAGAGGTTGCTGGGATGGGCAGTGCGGACCGACGCAATAAACCAGAAAGAGCCAAGCATCCCATTTTGCTATGAGCTCCTAGCGTTTGTATTTAGCGAGAAGCTTAGAAATTGGTCTTTGTAATTCGATTTTCTTGAATTGATTTAGTCTTATTATTGTGAAACGTCGAAAGACAGTTTAAAACAAGAATTAATTCTCCTTGTTATTTTATCATATAGATAATATAGATAGATTAGTATTTAAATAATGTCATGACAATAGAAGTAAATACAACTCAAATCTTTCATAAGTTGACAGAGAGTGAATAGAGCGCATGCTGTTAAAGTTCAAGTGGATTGGCAGGTCGGTAACGACCTTGACCGATAATGGAGTTTAGCACGAAATAGCTAGCACACTGATGACGTCATGTTTAAGATTAAACAACAACGCACCACATTTCCCCCTCTCGGGAAAAAAAAATTCAAACCGTGTTTGAATTTCTTTACTCTTAAGTACAAAATTAATAACTGCGCTTTTACATATGCAACCGTGAAGGTAGGCAAAAGATTTATGGAAATGACTATCATAGATGAATGTTTGATATGAATTTAAAGATTATGGCGAGAACAAGATACAAAAGTTTGTATAATTTCTGGACCAAACGCTGAATTGATAAATGCGAAAGTTTTAATTACGATAGTTTGTATGATTTCTGGACCAAATGCTGAATCCGGTAAATGCAAAAGTTTCATTTGTCTGACCGACATGAAGTTTTACAAATAGAAATTTGGTATAAAGATTAAAGTTTTAACAAATACAGGGTACAACAGTTTGTATAGGTTCTGGACCAAATGCCGAATTCGATAAATACAAAAGTTTTATCTATCTGACCGACGCGAAGGAAAGTCGGAAGTGCTCGTTTTGGGAAAACGAATAAATTTCCTATGTTTTGGGGAATCCTCGGGTATATCAGCCCGAGACTGGCTTACTTGATTAGTACGATCAGAACTGGACACGATAAAACGAACTTTCTTATCCGGAGAGGCAGGAGTTGACGGAGGCGTAGTTGCTGACTGCGACTGAATGACATTAACTGAGTGTCTAATAGGGCTACCGTAGAATGTAGTTTGCTTTTTCCGTCGTGAAGAAGATCGTGACGAATTTGACGAAGAAGACATATTCCCATCCTGTTCCGAAAGTATGCCGTGACTATCTTGGTTGTTAGAACCCGATGCTACCAATTTTGATGAAGTTCCTACTTGTGACTTCAAGATTGACGATTCATCGTCTGAAGAGATAGGAATAAGATCTGAGCCTACTGGGGTCATTATTGGAATTGGCGCCTTTGGCTTGATGCTAATAGGAATTTCCGTTCCTGAATTGCCAGACTTAGAGGAAGAGACAATAACTGTAG